TATAGTCTTTTTTATTCTCATCATTCCCGGATATAAATTCCTTTCTAGCCTAGAATCATACGCACCAACAAATAAACTCTCTCTGTCCTACTAAAATAAGTGTTTTAATCGTCCTATTTATTTCAACAAAATAAACTATTTCGAATGGTAAAGATCATTTACTTAATAAAATAATAAAGAAGAATAAATCACTTGCATAAAATAAAATAGTCAAAACTGAAAAAACAAATAACAATCGAAATCATGCCAAATACATGAATAAATTAGGGTTTTCCTTGTCCCTCTCCAGATAGTCCCGAGTGATTAAATCTTCAATTCGCTTCTTGATGGCCTTCACGTCGGGCTTAAACATTTTACTCAACTGCTCAACGCATTCCCCGACCAACTGCTGATAGCCCAAAACTTTTCGAGCCTTCATTATACGGACAACTGATGCATCAATCGAATACCTTCTATCCTTATCAACATCTTCAATCACTTTTTTCTTCTCATCCACTGGAGGATTAGGGATCTTAATCCTCCTCATTTTATCATCAAACTTTGAGTTGAACTGAAAGGCATCAGTAGGTGAAATCGTTCTTGAATTGGGCTCTTTCGTGAGGATCTTGTACTTAGCACAAGAAAGGGAATGAAGAGTCCTGACAACATCATCATCAGACAGATTCAGTTGAGCCTTAATCTCCTCATAGCTCAATCTGTCTGACCCGTTGAAAAGCAGCAGAGCAGCAGCCTGGTAAGGTGATAGTATCAGCTCTATCTTCTTGGCATCAAACTTCCCCATGAGGTTACAGTTTCCCAAAGAATTAATCCAAGTAAGCTTCCTATGTTTTGTCTTTGTTTGGTAATACCCTTTGAAAGCTTCCACACATTTTACCATCTCGGCCGGAAGGTTAAGGTCAGAGGATTTGTAAGTAGGCCAGAATCCGGTTGTAAGGACAGTAACAGTCAAGTCAATCCCAGGATGAACCCTAGGATTTCCTCGGAGGTACTCGGCAAAATGTTGCTGGTTCTCTTTAACCAATGTCATGTCGGTGACCATACCTTCCATCTTTGATGTGAACTGACCCCCAAATTGCTGTTTAAGTTTGGACAAAAGGCTTCTCACATGGTCATCATCAGCACTTTTATCATAGATAAGGCGCCGCGCAAGCTTTTTCCTGAAGAATTCCGCAAACAAATCCTTATCGCTAACAAAAGCGAGCAACATCACTACCTTTTCCAAGGTTTTTTCTATAGCTTCGTCAGTTAGCTTTTCACTCCCACCATTTTTCAGGACATTCTCACAGAAGGTCGCGAGAAGTTCCGCGCTGGAGCTTCCGGCAACACTCTTATTGCAAAACACCTCGAAGGCTTCCTTGAGTGCCTTATGGAAAAGAGAATGGTTCTGGAAACAGTCATTCACATACCCGAGGTACTTGTCATGCAATTCAATCAATTTCCTCACGAGAACCTGCTCCGGTAAACCAACCACATCTCTCTTGTCGGCCTTCTTGTCCTTGGCTGCATCTTCGGCCTGCTTCACTAAAGCCGTGCCTTCATTAGTAACATACTGTTTGAATACATTCGAAACAGGTTCTAACCCGAACCCTTGTTCGACTCTCAAGAACAGCCGGTACATCCTAGACAAGTCCTCCACCTTATCTTCTCGCAACAGCGCCTGAATTCCAGAATGCTCTTTCTCGAGCAGTTGGGTTGCATAAACAGTTAGCAGCTCGCGTTGCGCTTCCTTAAGCAACTTGGTTTCGCTGCTCGAATGGAGATAGTGGGAAACCCTATCCTTCTCCCGCTTCAAACACTCTTCAGCCTTCAACATGTAATCTGGACAAGAATCCTCCAGAATCCATTTAGAAGCCTTCCGAGAGTAATAAGACGCGGTATCCTGGAGCATCGACGCCTCGAAATCTTTCTCGTAACAATCCATAGTCCCCAGCCCCATCTCAACAAACATATCCAACACATTCTTCAACAAAGAACGGTCGATTTGGTCCCCCTCCCGCTCCTGGTGAATCAGGGCCAAAACAGCACCCGTAAATTTGCCGTTCAACTCCTTGTACACTTCGTGTTTGAAGCATGTGAGCCCGGCTTCATTCAGGGTAGGAACGGAACTCCGGGCGACGTAATAGCGGTCGAGATAATGGAAGAATCTCGACAGCCATCGGATCATGATCTTGTGATTCGGCCACCGTTTCAAGAGCTCAATCAGGATGAACTCGTCGTGCTTCTCACGAAGGGAAGGAAGCACGTCGGAGGCAATGTAGGATTCGAAGGTCTTTTTGTATTTGTCGTACAATTGATCAGAGTAGTCGTGTGGTTGCCTCTGGGTACACATGTTGTAAATCGTAGTGTAGTTCACCATGTATTCTTGTGAGGTAAACTGCTCATCTTTTGTCCCTTCAAGGATTGTCTTCACTTTTTCAATCCCTTTTTCCATCACACCCCATCCGACATCCAGATGAATCGGATCCTTTGTTGCCATGATGGTAAACTATCAACCAAAACAAAAACAGAAACCCAGAATTTTAGGGAGTATAAACAATAATAATTCAGAACCCTAGTCGTGAAGAAAGAACGAGCAAATAATAGAAACCTAGAGAGCGATGATGTTTATATATACTCAACAAAACTTGCTCTTCTCTGATTCCTCTCCTAATTATAAGTCCTGAGTGGCGGTTGATTATCCCTATTTTAATCTATTAAAGCAGAAAGTTTATGTGGTAATTTCTTATTAAAAGGTTTTGCCTCTAAATGCACCATACTGCATAAACCATTCTGCCACGTGTCACCTCCTTTTAAAAACAAAAAATATATTTACAATAGTGTGGCACCTCCTTTTAAAAACAAAAAATATATTTACAATAGTAACGAAGAGATCAGATGGCCATGTTCATTCAAATTTTGAATTTGACAATGAATGGAACTTTTCTTCTCCACTTATTTAGGACTTTCTAAAAAATTAATTGTCGATAAATTAATTATCTTCATCAAAAACTAAATTCACTCATAATCAGTTTTGATTATTTACATATTAATTTATTAGGTGGGAGGACACCCCGGGCATTTGCCCGGGACAAGCATCTAGTTGATGGTTGTAGGAAATCACAACAAACTTTGTTTCTAGTCCAACAAGAATTCTAGTCTTCTGACCCAAATTATACATAGATTTACCCACCAAAAAAAAAAAAAACAAAAAAAATAGTACATAAACCAGTAAACAATGTCGACGCCTTTCGTATCAATAACAATCAACTAATCAATAAAATACGCCATTGCACGAAGATATATATCAATAAAATTTACTTCAAAAGAAAACATATTTACATCAAAAAAGAAAAAGAAAAAAACGTTATGAGTAACATAGTAAAAAAAAATAGGGAGAGAAATCAAAGCTAAACATGTCACTCTGCGTATCGATACCGATGCCAGAAATCAATGTCTTGATTGAGTTTGATAAACAACGATCATGAGAAAGAGAAGTCGTAAGAAAATTTTTTGACTAGCTTCCGCAATTTTTCGATGTCCAAAGTCTGTTTGATGGCCTGCTATTTATAATCAATCAATAAATAAAATCTCAGCACAGGTTTCTGGAAGAGGCCGGCGGAAATCTAGCTAAATTCACTAGGTTAGTTTTTATTTTTTTTAGGGATGTATTAAAAAAATATCGGAATCGGCCCAGCAAATCGTAGAGGGTCTAACATCTTAGGCGGATTTAATATGGGCCCTCTCAAATTTATAAATTTGCAAATTATCAAAATATGATATTTTACAAGTTTTAAAAATTTTAACCTCATTATTATTAGTGTTTAAAAATTTAATATCTTCGGTTTTGTAATTAAGTTCCTTCAATATGTCAATAGATCCATATGATTATACTAATTGATGTATTTCTTAAACATATACGCACTCTGTCCATTTCAACCATATTTACCATCGAATCCAAAATAACTTGAATTAATTTCATGATCTAGATATCAGAATTTTTGCGCTTCTACTTCTCGGTGCTAACCGTTCATAACAAGATCTGAATTGCAGCATTCCTATCCATGCATGTCAAATGTTGCACCATCGTGTGTGTCTTCTAGTTTTCGTCTTTATTCTGCGCGAGGAGTGATTTTGATTAGTTAATCACATTCATAAAATTTCAATATTGTTTGATACTTGTGAACACGGGTGTTCTAGATTGATGTTCAAGTTCTGTACATTACTTGAATGCTAGTAAATTCTTAAAAGATCACAAAAAAAAAGAGAGAGAGAGAAAAAAAACGATGTGTTCATAAAATTTTTGGTAAAAAAAATACCTGTATATTAGAGAATCCCTAAACTATTATATTGCATTTTATAAAAAGCAATATTATGAACTTCCGAAACATCTGATCGAGAAACTTTAATCAATTCACAATACGCAAAAGAGTTTATAATATCTATTAGATTTGGTACTATTTCTTGTACCTCTAATGGAATTTGATAGTCCCGGATATTGGTGATTAAAAATTCACAATCCGTGTGAATATTAATTCTGGTAATACCAAATGTAGACACTTGTTGGAGCGCCAAAAAAAAAAAGTAGTTACTTCCGACTGCAATGGAGAGAAGGCTTGGATGGTTTCAGAACCAATTTGTAGAAGTGCATTAAACGGAGAAACAATTTTCCATGCTCCTGCTACCCTTGAATTTGCCGAATTTTAAGAACCATCAATAGTAACTAGTGATGCTTTCTGTCTTGAAAAGGATTTTGTAGTTGAGGCATTATATTGTCGCTGCTTCTAATGTCTTTTGTGTTGATTGAGATCCATTTGAATCAGTCTCCAAGAATTCAGGGGATCTTGACATTGTTGCCGCCAAAGCGTTCATAAAACTTATTACTTCTGAAACTTGCTTTTTCATTGCTTGCTCTAAATTTCCTCCTGATGGAGTGCTTTGAACTTCTAAATATACAGCTTCTTTTTTTCTTTTTTTTTCTTTTTTTGGGTCGAAAAATATACAGCTTAAATTGACTATTTGCTGAAGTGAGGATATGCTTATGGCTGCAATGGAAATTTCAAGGCTGAAGTGAAAATCAGTACTAAAGGCGCTAGTAACTTTTCCTTCCTGCAAGATATGCTTCAACAACACCGTCAACTATGTAAAAATTAGTAATATGCAATGGAATTGGCACGACACGATGAATTATGTGTAGACTAATCCAACCATTACGAAAATCTAGTCAACTCTAAAAATTGTTTATAGTAAACAAATATTCACATTGATCCATCCATGAAATTATAAAAAAGATGAACAGGGGATGCAAATCAAATTTCAGAACACGGAGCAAATTAAATCCGATTCAACACCAATTTCGTCCACCAACAACATTACAAAAACTAACACCAACAAAGGTAATCAAGAACGAAAACTAATTCCCTTCCAAATCCGTCATATTGTCTGAAAATCGTAGTATATAATTCGGCCCGCCGAGCACCACAATCCTCCTCTCCCACTGCCACTTTTCTCCCATCAGCTCATTGATTTCATCGTTAAGACCCATTAATCTTCCTTCCTGAAGACTTGCGTCCTGAACTGTCCGCCCGATTCCGGCCATGATTTGCCGACGCCTTTTTTCTGCTTCGGCTAAATTCCGGCATTCAGAGGCTGAAATCGACCGGCGGCACTTTAGGTTTCTTCAATTCCTCGGCCATCATGGTATTGGATCTGTTGAGCTTTCTCCTCGTGTGAGGATTTGAAGGATTTTTGGGGTTTTTAGAGAGAGACTGATTGATTCCCAATTCTGCAGAAGGAAAGAAAAGTCGAATTTATATAATTCGCGGAAACCCCGCCTTTTCCTTACAAAATCCATGTAGGAAAACGAAAAGCTTAAATTGCAATAAAACCCCAGATATTTTTCTCACATTTCAAAATGCACCCCATTTTGTTTATTAAACTCCTAAATACTCCCTGTTGGCGGTCAAAATCTTCTTTGCTGAGCCCTTTCCGTCTGAAGAAGAACACTTCTACAACCATGGCGCTTTCTTACACCACCACCACATCCTCCGTTGACTCCGCCGCCGTTTTACGCATTCCGCCGACTCCAAAATCCAATTCAGGTTAAACAATTACCTTCTTTCCTGTATTTTTGGTTCTAATTGTTTGCCACCTTTTATCCCATTTGATAAATGCTATTCTTATTTTTGCTATATTAATTGTTGTTTCTATTTGGTTGTCTCTGGGTTTGACATATTGCTCGATTCTACGCTCTTAACGGGTTTATGTATGAAAGATTTTTCGTTGCCTGTTATTGAGCTCATCAACTGCAAAACCCAGAAAATTTTTTATCAAATCTTCAAAAAATTAAAGAATCCTTTGTTCTTCACTGTTATTGTTTGAGAGGGATTGAAGTTGTAGTTAATGCTGGAATTTGAGTCATTCTCAAACACCTATTTGCAGGTGCTTTTTTCTCACCTAAAGTTAGGTTGTTCAGTGTGAAGTGCTCTTCTATTTCGCTCTCCTCTGAAGGCCCTTCTGCTGGTAAATTGTTATCTCTACATTTATTTGTGTATTGTTCCTCTTGATAGTAGAACATCCATTCGAAGGTCTTCAGTTTTATGAACTAGTATGGTGAAGGTCTTCAGTTTTATGAACTAGTGTGGTGCTAACTCATTCTTTTGTGATTTTTTCTAGGAAACATATTAGTGGGTGAAATTTGTTTGAATGATTTTGTTTACTAATTGAGTATGGTGTAATTAGATATTGAAAAAATTGTGAAGATGAAGTTAATGTGAGCTTGTCACAGCATATGTTTATAGTCATGTAAATCCTCTGCTTAAGAAAGATATTTGAAAAAACCAAATCCTCAGGGTTGGTAGAAAGACCTTGGAAGGTAGCAGATGCTAGACTTGTGCTCGAGGATGGCTCGGTGTGGAAGGCAAAGTCCTTTGGTGCTTCTGGAACTCAAGTTGGTGAAGTGGTTTTCAACACATCTTTAACAGGGTAAGCTTTATTTTACCAGTATTCCTTGATAATATTTGAGACTTTGGCTGTTCGTAATCTTGCCCCAGTACGCAGCGAGGCTCATGTCATACCAGTTGGTCTATTGTTTCTTTTTTTTTTTTTTAACGCCTTGAAGTTTTATTTATTTTCTTATAGCTCTATATACTCTTTAGTTTAGCTATATTTGGATTATTGGGGTTGCAATTTACTTTTAAATTGTAGATCTTTGTTTCTTTATTAAAAAAAAAATTAAAAATAAATCCCGAAACATTTGACATGCGAGTTCAAAATGGTTTCTTTTTCTTTTTTTTTTAATATATACAGGTCGTTTAGAACTCAAAATAATACTTAGTAGGACCATAGGTTATATCTTTAAGTAATCCCTTCATCAGATGCAGTCTCAGACTCTCAGTGTTCCAATTCTTTTGAGATAAGTATCAGTAAAAAGTCATTTTATTGGTACCCGAGGCAAATCAATCCTGTTTCCAATGTACAAATTTCCTGTCATATTCAATGGTCGTTCCATTTTGTGAAACCCAATAGTGTGACCTGAGTTTGAAATTTTTTGAACTCGGGCCAACCTCTTAAATGTTTGATTATTGCGATCGGCATGTCTGAAAATTTGCTGTCTCTTAATCACTTGTCATTAACTGAAAGTAGCTTTAGCATGCTATCGAATATAGAATATCTGCTTCAGTATATTGATGTGGGCGGATCTCTGTGCAACTATTTTCAATTTTCTTATGATTGTTACTTAAGTCCTGTACTCTCTGCAATGTACAGATATCAGGAGATCCTCACTGATCCTAGTTATGCTGGTCAATTTGTTTTGATGACAAATCCCCATATCGGGAACACTGGTGTAAATTTTGGTGAGTAATATAGTTTTTATCATGTGTGTCCAACCTGAAGTTCTTGCACAAATTATCTCTTTCTAACAGAAATTTTGCTCCATCTAATTCCTCAAATTTGTGTGTAGATGATGAAGAATCAAGGCAATGTTTTCTGGCCGGGCTAGTGATAAGAAGCTTGAGTATCAGGTGATCTTGCATTATGGAAGTATGATTTTAGGGAGAACCTGTAGCAATACGTCCATAAGGGTTAAGGTCAAAATCTGACTCAGACATCTTTGTTGAACATCCTGTAGTACCTCAAATTATAGATGTACTCAGACACTCGGTGACTACTTGGCAGAGCGAAACATCATGGGCATATGTGAGTACAATCTCAGAACGCAGAGCCACTCTTAAATTTTGCCGTCTTTTAGAATGGCGGTGCCTCAAATTTTAATCACCTAAACATAGTTTTGTAACCATCCATGGTGCTTTAGATGATGTTGATACACGTGCAATTACTCGGAGATTAAGAGAAGATGGGAGCCTCATTGGTGTGTTGAGCACTGAAAAGTCCAAATCAGATGATGAACTTCTACAGATGTCACATAGTTGGGAAATTGTCGGTGAGCACCAATCAACATGTCCATACCAATATTGCTTCTAATTGTGTTAATCTTCTTACTATTGCCTAAAGAAAACATTATTCTTTGCAATCTAACTTCTCAGGTATTGACCTAATAAGTGGGGTCTCATGTACAAGTCCCTATGAATGGGTCGATAAAACAGGCTCGGAGTGGGATTTCAACTTTAATGGAAGGGACAAAGAAACGTTCCATGTGAGTGCTGAATGAGTCTGTGAACTCAAAGATTCAGTTCATGTCCTTTAAACACTTCCAATTAATTCTGCATTTTTTTTTGTGGAAATGAAGGTTGTAGCATATGATTTTGGCATCAAACAAAACATACTCAGGCGCCTGGCATCATATGGCTGTAAAATCACAGTTGTGCCTGCAACATGGCCAGCGTCTGAAACCTTGAAGATGAAACCAGATGGAGTTCTTTTTAGCAATGGTCCAGGAGACCCATCTGCAGTTCCTTATGCTGTTAACACTGTGAAAGAAATCATTGGAAAATTTCCTGTTTTTGGAATTTGCATGGGCCATCAGTTACTAGGTCAAGCATTAGGTGGAAAAACCTTTAAAATGAAGTTTGGCCATCATGGGGGAAATCACCCTGTTCGGAACATTCGAAAGGGCTGCGTGGAGATTAGTGCTCAGGTATATATTATTGATTAGGGCTTTTTTATTTGAGTGATATTCTATGTTATGGAACATATTGGAACCGGCCATATTTTTGTTTCTATAGTCTTGTTCTGCTGTCTGATGTCAAGTCCTGTAAAAACTTATTTTAAAGTTAATTGGGATCCCTTTTTTTGGCCATGGATTTGACTTGTGGAGTGTGGAAATGTTTGTGAAACCTTGGCATGTGCTTGTGTGGCTACATGGAAGTTTGTGTTTGTAACCAATGCTTACATGTACTTATTTCTTTTGAACAGCTCCAGAGGCTGTGTCCAAATTAACTATATTGTTTCATCTGCAGAATCATAATTATGCTGTCGACCCTGCATCATTACCTGATGGCGTAGAAGTAACTCATATTAACCTCAACGATGGAAGCTGTGCCGGTCTTGCCTATGGGAAGTTAAAGCTCATGTCACTCCAATACCATCCTGAAGCATCTCCTGGTCCTCACGATTCAGATCCTGGTAAACAGTCTCCTATTGCTTCTTCCCCTTTATAATATGAATAGTTAGAGGAATTCAGTGGATTCCATAAGAATCTACAGAATTTGACTTAAAAGCATTAACACCATACCATTTTTAACAACATCAATCATATCGTAAGAGTCTCCTTGACGAGTCTTTATCTCTTACTAATATACTTGATGCGCAAAATTTTGGAACAAATGAACTTTTAGTTCATCTAGTTATACTCCTGACCGGAAAGGAGAGAAAGTTATGATAGTTTTTGTGCTTTGTGCTTGCTGATAAACATAGAATGTTTTGTCCTTGATGTTGGCTGATGCATTATAATCTTCATTCTTGCTGCAGTCTTTGGAGAATTCGTGCAACTCATGAAGCAAGAAAAGTCAACGTAATGATGCTGGATGTGAAACCTTAGAGAAATTAGTAGATTTAGCTGGTTTTGTTTTATTAATGTGTTGTGAGAAATGCGGGATGAAGATAACAAATTGAAATTCAGCAGGGAGAATCATACATCTCCAAAGTTCAAAAGTTGTATGAGCTGAACTTTTATGTTGCACTTGCAGTCACCACTCCCCGATCTGTTCATAGCTGGCAACAGCAAAGATAATCTATGTTTTGGCTGTGTTTTCCAACAGCAAAGATAATCTATATTTTGGCTTTGTTTTCCAACGTTCATTTTAATTTGGTGTGTGACCGGCTTAGACTTGTTTTCAGTGTATTCACTTTATGGATTAGACAACTCTATCCAGTTTTCCTTTTAGCAGATTTCAGTCTTTCGTGAACGAGAGACTACTTTCCCCTATACATGTAATGAACTAAAGAAAATAGCAACTATATACGCAGACGAAACACAGTTATTTCAGTTTTTCATTATAAAAATATTTAGCTGCAAGTAAAATTCAACTACAAAAAAAAAAAAAGCTTCATATTAGATTGAATGTAACTGACTGGATCAATCAAATTCAATGGCCCTGACGGGAAGAGACCTTCACTGAGGCCATCATTGTCACCTGTTGTTACCATGAATGAAGAATGCTTTGAAAGATATAATAAACGAAATGGATCAAAGGGAGGCTCGCTACCACCAGTGTCACTCAAATGCCTTGCTGATTCCGGTACCATTGCCTGAACAGAATAGTTATAAGCTGAAGGAATCGCCGTTACTGGCACGACAATAACCAATAGCAAAAGAGAAAGAATCACTCCCGGCTCTTTGGTCTGTCCCATCACCAGCGTTAGAATTGTCGTTAATGATGATATAAACGCTACTGTGTTGGATAAAAACAGCTACTTGAAGTTCTTTGGTTGTGTTTGTGCTATAATACTTCGTCCTGCTCTATGCGGGTTCGAACCTTCAAGTAAATCATCTTGCCAGACACCTCCTGGTGGGTTTATCATAGCTTGAAAAACCATTGTTGCAATAACAGAAGCCACAATCATTATCGCGTCTTTACTCTTCTCCACTCTCTTGCGGAGATACTCATTCAAGGTGAAATCGGAGACATCCTCACCGCTCATTGCATCAGAGTTTATTAGAGCATCTCTGATTTCTCCGTCAGCTATGGTTCGCAGGAACTGCATTCTGTTGCTTTTGTACGGAAAGAAATTCCGCGGTGGTAATTTAGCCTGTGCCAAGAAAAGGTCCAGTGCAGTTTTTCCATTCGCATTCTTTATGCTGATAATTCCCTTCGCATGTCGTATCAAGTGAATTATAATCCCCTGCCTCCCCTGCAATAGCATAAAGTTTACCAAAGTCACAGGTAAATGATCTTTATTGAATTCAACAGTGTAGCGAATTTGGGATGAACTAGAGTACCTCGTTTTGGTTTCAGTCGAAAGCGAGATGTAGTAGGGTCATACCAACTTCGTTTTTAAAGCTTAAGAACTCGGGATCGTTCGGAATCTGCAACAAAGACTGTAGGGCACCCAACTGGTTATACTTGACACAAAGATGTAAAATGGTCTCTCTTCTGTCTGCCTTCTCTAGAGCTACTTGCATCAGCCACGCATTACCTCGTATCATCTCGAGGATGCTCAATCTGCCATGGATCACCGCCAGATGCAGGAAGTTCCTGCCATTTTGATCTCGAGCTAAACACATCTCGTGAAGGAAAGAGCGATTGCCGCGTCCTGGCTGCATAAACTGTTCATGGGACAGAATTGCTTGCACCGATTGTGCACACCCCAGAATCGCGCTAACGTGTAGAGCATTCTTATCTTCACCATCCAAATAAGTTGTATCGATAAGGATTTTCATGAAGTAAATGAGAAATAGTGGCTGTATCGCCTAGGGCTGCAGCATGATGAAGCCTTTCGTCCATGGTTTTTACAGAATGAGAGAAAGAAATGTATGCAATGAAGTAAAATGGAGAGAAATAAGGTTCATAAGCCTCTCATATAGTCCTATTTATACTCAAATGATCTGGTTTCACTCCCTCTCCTTTTCTTATTATTTTTCGTCCAATCGGCGGGAGACTTTCAGAACCAAGAACTGATTATGGATTATGGATTTTTCCTCAGACTGAATCGCGACACTAACCACTGAAGTACACATTAAAATAATAAAATGCTACTATTAGTGGTTTGCTCAACTAAAAGGTATAAGACTTTGGCGCATTAAAATACTCAGTTGTAAAAAAAAAGGAGACTTATAACTTGAGTCTTGGTTGTCCTATGTTACTGAGGCGTAAAAAAACATGTATATACAATCTCAGTGAGATGGTGGTTAGGCCAGCTCAGAAAAAGTGACTTTTTAAGGTTAAACAAAGAATGATTGATGGAATGGTGAAATTGATGGGAGCTGGTAATAACTTTTTATATGCTATTCAAGACAGAATGAAACGAAAGGAGTAATAGTTGGATATATGAGTAGTAAAAGAATTCCCAACTTTTCCCCTAAAGATTAGGGTAGATTGAGCTCCACGCTTCTAGCCCATATTAAAAGATTAGTATAAATTAACTAGATACACATTCTGCTCGTCCAATGGTCTTGCGCTGCCATGAACTTTTGAAGCTAAAGGAGTTGGGACTAATTCTTCACAGGACTTTAACAACTTCTTTTTCCTGTGAAGAATCCAAAAGTCCTAATATGTTGGTGGGAAGATGTTTGCAGGTTTTTTTGGTAACCTGAATCGTTGTTGCCTACTGCAAATGTGGAAAACAGCAATAATGCAGTTCCAGAAATTAGCAGAACAAATAAAAGGATTGGATATAAGAAGAACCAACTCCCCAGTAGAGAAGGTAATGATAGAAGAACAGAAATGAAATATGTAAAATTCCCTATAGTTTTAATGACCAAAACTCACTGATGCAGTTATTAATGAAAATGGCCAGAGCAAGACTATGGATGAAACCACAAAAGATGCTTTACTCCAAGAACAAAAATGACATTCAAGAATTTACCGCAAGTTCAAACATTAAAGGCAACCCAGAAGAACACGAAACAAAATTCACAGACCAATTATGATTCACCAAATTGATTAGCAATTAGATGGGAAATTTCATTCATATGTGAATTGAACGAAGTTCTTCACATCATTACATTCCCAACAAAAAACCATTACTAACAAACCAAAAAAAGTTTAAGCCCTTTCTCCTCTAATCCTCCTGGCAAGCTGCATATCCTTGGGCATAATAGTAACCCTTTTCGCATGAATAGCGCACAAATTGGTATCCTCAAAGAGACCCACCAGGTAAGCCTCCGCCGCCTCCTGGAGGGCAGCCACCGCGCTGCTCTGGAACCTCAGATCCGTCTTGAAATCCTGAGCGATTTCCCTCACCAGCCTCTGGAACGGAAGCTTTCGGATCAGAAGCTCGGTGCTCTTCTGGTACTTGCGGATTTCTCGGAGAGCCACCGTCCCAGGGCGGAAGCGATGGGGTTTCTTGACTCCTCCGGTGGCCGGAGCTGATTTTCTGGCCGCCTTTGTGGCTAATTGCTTCCTCGGTGCCTTACCACCGGTCGATTTTCTTGCTGTTTGCTTCGTTCGAGCCATTTTTTGGGGGGATTCTTTTAGGGTTTTTTTTTCTCAGATCTTGAAATCAACTTCTGATTGAAAATTTTGGGAATGGGATGAATTGGATGGGGGAATTGATAGGGTTTTTATAGGGGGAGATTTGGGACGCGGGACAATTTTCAAAATGGAGGGAAATTTTTGAAATTTGAATGGAAGGATGTGGCGCGTGAATATGGAGCGTTGGATTTAGATTTTAAGGGACGGTGTAGATCTGATATTGAGGAGAGGACTCGGATCGCAATCCGCGGCGTTCTACGCAGTTGTAAAGAGTAACTACTGGCGATGGATAGTAATTTTTCGTTTGTCAAAAAATAGTGTAGTACTACAATATAAAAAATTTTCCAACTACAAGATGTACATTATTTTTTTTTTTACATTTATTTTTTCATTTTGAAGCCAACAGCGCGAAACAAAAATTGATATCCCAAGCCTGAGTTAATAATAAATGTTATCTCGGTCCTTATTACAACGCATTTTGATTTATCTTAATAATATATTCTTTTTATTGAAAATAAAATTTTAAAAATATTTTATAATAATTCAGAGAACATAATAAATATGAAAATATATTTATAAAGTTTTATTTTCAATTAGAAAACATATTTATTTACGCTAAATCAAAATGTCTCATAATAAGGATCATATAAATTATTTTTTTGAGACAGAGTGAGTATTACTTTCTGGAAAAAACGTTTATGCAAGGGATAATTGATGAAACACGTTAATTTTAAATCTCCGTTCCTTTATAATTTTTTACTTTTATCATCTCATTCTCAGTCCAATATTCTTCTACACATTTTTCACGATCACTTGGTTAAGAAACTTTATTTTCCTAACATTTGGCTTGCTAATATATTATGGCTTTTTATTTAATAACTAACAACCTACCAAAGAAAATAAGCCCGCGCCCATAACCTGTAAACCAATTGATCCACCTTTGATAGCAGAGGTAACGAATAGACAGTCTCATAGCCCGGATGTTTCACTAAAAATGTGAAATTTGGTTGGGAAACTTTGGTACCTATAAAATTTCGTAGAGTAGAATCCTATTAGATTTTTAAAAGATTCGACTATAAAACACTTTGATAGCTCAACATTTTATCTGAATACACAAGAGAACTAGGATTGCGAGCTCCAAGTCGGAAGCTAAACACTCCCAAATAGGCATATTTTCTGTTCGTCAGAATCTCAAAAAGTAACTGCATACATTTCCGAAGACTCATTTCCAAATTCCAATGTCCAATGTGAGAGCCTACTAAAACGAACTTGCATAACAACACTTTTCCGGCGGCTTAGACGGACAATCAGTCCCCCGTCCAACCCAACATAAGCGAAAAACAGCATGCACCATGGCGAAACATCAAGCAACTAACTACACCTGAAGGCTAAGCAGGCTTGCGGAAAGGAGAAGCTTCAACGAGAAATACAGATTGAGGATCCAAAATCTTCACAATGCATGATGACCCCGATTTGTTTTTTTTTTTTTTTTTAAAGACTGGACCATTATTTTGAGACTGATGAAGTCTATTCATAAAGAGGATCCCGGGCCGCTCTCCTTGTTTTTGAAGAAACTCGTGGTGGAAAATTTGACCATCTAGCCGGCTTAAAAAACCTCAAGTAGTTTGGTGAAGTTGAAAAGCATTCTTCAGCTATAATATTCCTAGCTCCTGAGTCACTCTACTTCTAAAAGTTCTCCGATATCCAAAATCAGGATGAAATCCAACCAAACATCCACTGATGAAGAGTTCTTTTAACAGTTGAAAACAGATAAAACAGTACGAAGTGGATCCACTCAGATGACCTGAATGGCTGGTAGGAAATATAAAGTACTACAGCAAAAAATATTGTTCAAACACTTGCCGAAGTAAAATTCAACCGGACATCCACTGATGAAGAGTTCTTCTAACAGTTGAAAACAGATAAACAGTACAAAGTGGATCCATTCAGATGACCTGAATGGCTGGTAGGAAATAAAGTACCACAAAAAATATTGTTCAAACACTTGCCGAAGTAAAATTCCCTACATACTTTCACAAGATAAAACGACCAGTAAGAACTGGTATTTGATGATTTGATCCAATCTTCTGCTCAGAATACCTTTGGAAGTTGAAACCAATAGTTCCATCTTCCGCGTTTGTCCAAGGCAAAATCACTTTTCTTACAAAACAACAATATGTTAATCAACACATCATATCAGCAAAGGGCAGAAAGCAAGTAGTGATACTTCAAACTTGCCCAAAAACCCAAGGAATTCTTACACAGTATGACAATCACTAAAGAAGTATGGAACCGAATTTGACTGCAACAAGTTCCAGTCAATTTAAAGCTCAAGTTTCAACAACTTATGCTTGAGTTCTTATAACAGTTATACCCAATCGACTGATGCTAAACTTTCAGTAAACACAAGAGGCTCATAACGGAATTCTAGTGGAACTGGTCCAGAGTCAGTTTTTCTGCTCACCTTTTCTCTCAAGTTGTATCGTTTAGTTTCGCCAGTGATCTTGTCCCTGGAAATGTAACTCCTTTCTCGAAGCGGCTTAGGTTGGCATTTAATCATCCTGCTGGTCTTCTTTTCAAAATTGTATGCATACAAATGGCCCCATCTTGAAACCAAAACTACATTCCTAGAAATTCGTGTATGAAGGGGTACTAAGCTTCCTATAATGGCGAACAATTTAGTCCAAGACTGGTTGACGCCATATTCTGTCATCATCAAAACATCACAATCGCAATCACTTGGACTCTTAGATATGCAAAGGCATCCATTCAAACGCTGAGTTCAAAATAACAGGTGGAACCTTCATTTTCATATTCTTCTGGCATTGGTAATTCTCTAAACTGGTTCATCTCCTCATCAAAAATAAACGATCACTTGTGCCTTGCTTATCTTTTCATGCACTATCCAATGTAGATGTCCCTTTGCTAGAACCCCGGGATGACCCACTTAAAAAGGGGTGCCATATAAGGGAAGCTAATATCCTTGCACATTTCTCTCTTCCTTAAACTGGCTACATATGAAAAGGTATCACCTAGAGGTTGTGTTGCAGAAACAAAGACTACCTTATAATCATCAGAGGATTTGTCAAAGCAAAGTCCAGAAAGTCCAAAGAAAATGTGAAACTTTGATCGCTCGTCATATGTCAAAGCATTGAGTTGATCCATCAAATGGCAGTGACTTGTGGATGGGTTCCACAAATAAAAAGCTTGATCAAATAACAACAATATCAACCCATTACAAGCACCAAGCAAAGTCGTATAACTATGACTAGGCAAAAGATCTCCAATCGGATGTGGATTTGGAAGATTTACGACTGAAACTTCATCGTCTACAGAATAAAAATTCACTGACAGTACGCCATGCACAGGAGAAGATTCACATAACATAAGAGCACGTTCTCTCCCAAAGTTGGATAAAATGAAGCTAGGATCAGAAATCCGGGAATTCCATAGTCTGCAGATACATTTACATCGTAGGAGGGTTTTCACAGGCAATCTTGATAGTATCTCAACAATGACATCAACTGGAAGCTCAACTGAAGTCGAGCCCGATTTCTTAGTGGCTTTTTCCATCTTTACGGGTGACCCCCTTGATGAGACTAAATTTGGGTAAAACTCTTTGATGACTACGAAAACAGGAGAAAAAATCCTTTTACTAAAAAGAAAAAAATAATAAATTAGCCCCTACTTTTATTGCTTCAGTAATTAATTTCATCACTCTGACAACAGCAGCCCAGGTAAGTTAAAGATTGCAAAATGACATCTTCATCATCCCAATCAGTCAATCAAAACAGGGATAAATGCATATTCAGCTAAAACAGTGTAGTAGATGATACCGGCCGGAGCCAATTGAGTTCACATCTTCCATCGACTACAGCTAGCGCCAGTTCTGAACATCCTCATCATTTTCAATTGCTTCTTGATTTCAAGTATTCAAAAATCTCCAGCGGCCCAGAAACATAAGCGCATCAATTGTTCATTTCCAAATTTATCTATTAAAGGAAAAGAAGGGGAGAAAAAATTAACTGAAGGGGAGAAGATTTGAAATTTTCAAGAGAAATTCCAACTGGAATTTGAATTTCAACAGTAAAAGAGAAGAGGAATACCCTTGAATATCATCCTGAATTGGATCGAAGCGACAGAGCTGTGGATTGTGGAGGGCGATGGGGAGATCGGGGTGATATCATCAAGTTTGAGGATTTGTAATGTTGGATTTCATTCTTCGTCGGTGGTGGTGGCGGCGGCGGTGGGGTGGCGGTGGCGGCGGGCTTACAGTGGACTAACGAATAAGTAAGTGGTCAGACTTGGCATCAAACGGTTTACTGGAAATTGGAAAATGAAGGCTCTGTTTAATATCAGCGCGGTGTTTTTCTCTGTTAGAAATTTTTAGTTTTTAAAGAAAAAAATATATTGCCATTTGAAAACGTTTAGGCTTTGTTTGGTTGCATTGAATTAAAACCAAGAATTGGAATTGGAGCTCTATAATTCCAATTCTTGTGTTTGGTTGCTAAAAATAGAGGTCCAATAATTGTAATTATAATTCAAGATAAGACTCAATTCTTTATTTTCAATTCTTTTGTGGGAGTAAATAATTAGAATCCAAATTCAAGACACTTAAAAAAAAAACATGCGGGTCATAGTCGGGTCATTTCCGGATTATAACCTAAATGGGTTGTCCTATCAATTTTTGTTTTTTGGCCTTTTTTTATGTATTTTTTATAATTTTATTTTTTCAGCTTTTTTCTTTTTCTTTTTTTTTCTTTCAGCGCTTCCTGGCTTTTTTTTTGTTTTTTTGGAATGTTTGTCTCATCATCATCATCATCATCATCATCATCATCATCATTATTATTATTTCATATACATCATTTTAATAATTATCAACAAAATCAATCTAAAATTAACATTGTATCTTTTTTACAAAAAAAACAAAAGTATAGCTGTAACTAAAAAAATTTAATAACTAAATATTTTAGTTTTGTTAATATTTTTATGTATTTTTTATAATTTTATTTTTTCGGCTTTTTTCTTTTTCTTTTTTTTGCTTTCAGCGCTTCCTGGCGTTTTTGGTTAATATTTTTATTATATTATGACATAGTAAACAACATAAGATTCATTTTTTTAATAGAAATTGTTCCATATATACACCTATATTATAATACACATATATATTTTAACTATTTATGGCATCTTTTCACAAAAAATTATGTAAGTTGAGTTTTACGTATCTATTATTTCATATATAATTATATACTAAAAATAAACACATTTAAGCATATATTATATACTAATGTTAATCTATGTATAAATGAACCTCAATATTCATAAACTGAATTTAAAATGTTATATAATAAAAATCTTTTTAATTTTTGATATAAATCAAAACATAAAAAATAAAAATTTTGAAAAATAATAAAAGAGAGAAAAACAAAGATGTTTTACGTGTTACTTGTTTGTGTATTAAGTGAGAAGTTTAAGTATCATATTAATAGTTCTTATACATAATAATATTTCTTTTGTTTCCAACAAAAATGTGTGTACATAATAAATTACAAAATTGATATAGCAAATTAATTAATAATAATAATTCGTTTTAACAAAAAAAAAAGTAAAAATTGTATTAGTTAAACAACCACAAAGTAGTCAAATATACATGTACATGATGAAAAAATTTATTTATTTTTTTGTGTTATACATATCCATAATAAAATAAGTTTTTTTTAAAAGAAGTTTTTGACAAGAAGTATAAATTGTACTAGTATTAGTTATACAATAACAAACTAATTTCAATTCTAAAGTATCCAAATTTTTATGCATCCAAACGCAAGAATTGGAATTAGAACCTTAATTCTAGTAAATATTCAAGATCTCCCAAACAAGGGAATTGAGATTGAATTACCATATTAATATCTCATTTTCAATTTAATAGTATTGTAATTCTAATTCAATTGCAATTCAATCTAACCAAACGGAGCCTTAAGAAAATATGGTACTCCCTTCAAAGATTGCTGTGGTGAATCGTATGATGGTCCCTCAAATGATATACCACCTATTTTAGGGGATTTTTTTTCGTTTTTTAGTGTGTGTTTTTAAGTATTTTTTTTATTGAGAATGTAAAAATGTATATTGAAAATATAAAAAGGTATAATAGGATAAGACAATTACTATTATTTAATTCTAAAAAAATCAACTAAAAAAAGAAAATAAATAAAGCCTTAGTTTTACCAACAAATATTTATTCTTAAATGTGTTTTTCTTTTTATGCATGTCTGATTCAACAAATATTTTAGTTTTACCAACAAATATTTTTTATTCATATCTGCTTTCATAAAAGATACACACATTAGATTAGAATAATCAACCTAAGTTATTACAATGCGCCCTGTGATAGATTATATTATGCATTTCTAATATATCGTTTCTACTAACTTTAATTAGTTTACAAATATCAAAAAAATTCTACATTGGATACGTCAAAATTCTACATTCTTTTTTTTTTTTTTTGAAAAGTAAAAATTTCTACATTCATTCAGTACTAAATATACCAACTAAAATATGAATATAGTTGTGGAGCTTGCTTTCGGAAAAATCAGATCATAATGCTAATTATTTCTCCCGTGTCAGATAAATTTTGCTATTTAATTAGTTATTTAAAGTGAATACATTGTTACTTATATTTACAATTCTTGTGTTTGAAGGATAAACTTCTATCCAAAACAGAATAAACCAGACAAGATTACGACTCGGAATATTGTTATTTTTTGGTACAATGAAGGAGGGTAATGGCTAAAGTATTAAAACAATAAACAATCATATTTTCTAGAACTATTAATAGAAACAATGAAACTCGCTATCAAAGTCAAGTAATAATCACATTATAGTTGTCTAACCTAATTGCTACACAAATCGCTCCATAAACTTTATAGTCTTCCTGGTCTTGGAATCACCCATACTCAAACAGTATAGTGATTGACTAAGAATTAACTCGATCAGATGCATAGAGATTAATGTTAAAAGTAATTTCTTACAATTTGAAGGAATTAGTCATTGCAGCGACTGTTAATATGCAAAAAAATAAAAATAAATTCTTACATCAAGTATCACTATCTTAAAAATGAATGTGAAACTTGCGGTACAAGAATACAAGTATACCCAACTAATTGATGGGAAATTTATGTATTGTGGATGTAAAAAGAAGATATACATATAACTCTTTGGTCAATGAAGAATAACGTAATAGAGTTCTCCCCTACACACTCTTATTATCAATTTTATAATAGTGGCCATCTTGGTACCTAATAAACTTATATACGTCCCCGAGATGGAATCCGAACCTTGAACCTCAGAAACTGGGGTAAAGTGGTTAACTCAAATTCTGAACTTGAGCTCTCTTGACTTTGGTCACCGCCTTCCTTCTCAAGCAAAACAAGGAAGCAACAAAATCCAAATAACAACACCACATTAATCCTTCTTTGCCTTTCTCATGAAGCATTATGATTCTTCGGATCTAGTTAAGGAACCCAAGTACAGTCTTGACGCCATTATCATCTGACACATCAAAATCCAGATCAACATATATTCTTGACAATTCTTTGGCATTGATCCATAATGCGCTAAAGTCTTTTTTTTTTTTGGGGGGGTAATATGAAAATTTAAATTCTTACCTAAGGGATCAGGCACCCCGTGGCCACCATGATGATATAGTAGAGTGGGGCGCACAAATGATTCCATAAGTTCGAACTGATATTGCGGAAGTACGAGTTCATCTTTCTCTCCTACTTTTCCAATAATGCAAATTAATAAAACCAAGTGAAGAAACCATCAAATGTGTGAGTGTGACAACCAAAATTTTTGCCAATTAATTGAGAAAAGAATCAAATTGAGGAAAGCAGTGTTACTGACCTACTATGTGGAGGGATGGAATATCAATTGGAGTGGAAAAGGCATTTTTAGCAAGTTGTGGGGATGAAGGAAACAACAAGCCTCCAAGTTTTGCTCCGGAGATAATGATAACAAACTTAATCTTTGGAACTTTGGTCAGTGCAACACCCTAAAAAATTCTCTATGGTTAATATTCCCGTTGTTCCGAAAGAAAAATAACCCATTTTGTTAAATTACAATGATATAAGAAAACGGACTATTTTTCTAAGTCGGAAAAGTGCATTTCTGTTCGATTTAGATAACTAGTTTACTGAAACTGACGAATTGATCAACTTAGTTTACCTGTTTCTGCATTCCAGGCAGAGTACTTGTTACGCTTCCTCCCTTCATTCGAAGAAAACCCGATGGTAAAGATCGACGTCTTGCTCTTAAAATACATTTGATTTTTAATTAAAACCAAAGTAATATCCCATTAAGAATTTCCAGTTTTTGAATTTTGACGTGTACAAATAATACAGATTATGTGGTGTTACCTGAGACACTCCTAATACACCATCAAAGGGTCCAAGCTTAATCATTTGCTCCTCAATGTATGAAATGGCTTCATCGAAAGATTTGTTAAACTACAAGATCATGAAAATATAGTTTAATCCAGTCAATTAAATTGAATGCTAGATCTTGTTGTTAAAGAAAAACTATCATTTTGATGTAAGAATATGCTCTCTCAGTCCTAAAATTATTGTTTATTTTTATATTTTTTTTATTTTTTATTTTATTAAAATAAAATTCCAAACTGGACAATCATTTGATGACTGACGAAGAGTAACTGACCTGATCATGATCATGATGAAAAGCTTGGAACCACATGTAATGAGGAGAGTCAAATCTCTCTATGAAACTGGACGGATCTGCGGCAAAAGGCGCATCTATATACACCAAATCCATTTTTTCCAACACGAATTCTGGCCATTTTCCCAGTGTCTTTTCTAAAATCTTCCCGCTGTCTCCATAACCATGAAGGCAGAGGATTCTTGGCTTCTTCATCTGGAGCTGATTAATCTCCATGATGGTTTTCTCACTCTCTTTAATTTCTTTTATGCCTAATCGTATGATTTCCACACTGATACAACATTGTGAGAATCTTTATATACAGGTACATATTGTCTCTCTTTACAGTTTAGAGGCATAATTAGGCGATTAATTACATGAACTTTATAGGAGTAATTGGTAACTTGTATAGAGCTGATTCATCCACCTCATTTTGATTATTCATGTGGTTCTGGGCTCATCGACTTTGCTATCTCAATCAACTATCAACTAATTAAAATAGAGTTGCCACCGTTGCGTACGAGAAATAATTATTTGTCATAAATTGGATGAGGCATCTAACCATCCAAAGAAACAAGCTTTCAATGCCATTATATATACTCCCTCCGTCCTAGAAAACTTTTACCCTTCTTAAGGTATATCTGCATATACATCGAACAGTATTGATTATTGAATTATCTGTTCAATGTTGTTTGCCAGGGATGGAGCAGACGATGTTTTTGTTTACCTTTACCTTGAAAAGCTACATGATAACTTCTCTCTTTTTTTCAATTATTTTTTTTTTTTTTTGTGGCTGATTCCTATGTGAGGAATTTTCAAATTTTTCCCCTTATATTCTTGATTTTTCCAAGATTTCATATCATGCTGTCATCAGTCATGGGTATTTCATATTTGGATATTATATATCTCCCTATGTTTTCAAATAATTATTTGGTTTTTTTTTTTTATGTTTATTTTTAGTACTTCCAATGTAGACTAATTTTTCAGGAGTAGAGAACATATTAAACTTAAAATTACAATATAAACACATCAATGTTTTTGGGACACGTAGAGTATAATCCAAAAGAAACAAATTTAAAATTCAGGTTGGAAAACATGATGAAATTTACCCTCGGTTAGGTAACGCAAGTCTTTTTTTTTTTTTTTCTGGTTTTTGAAAAAATGTAAATGCTTTATAATATATCATCAAAGAGCATATTTACAACCAAAAAATCTTGTTCTATATTCCATTTGGCTCTCTACGTGACATGTTCAGGGTCAACGGTCTGTGTTTCTTGCTCACATTTCTATAGAAGAATCATCTATTTCACCTTCTTCGTCTTCAGATATTTCCTTAGAAGAATCATTTGTTACCATTGTCCTTCGAGGTTTGCCATTTTCTTGATAGTTGCATTAATCTCATTTAATCCATTCGCAACTTTGGCAGGATAGTCGATTTCCATTGACATTCTTTCACATAATGTGATGAAAAACAAAGAATTCTCATTGCATCGGAAAATTTGTCGAATAAAATTTACTATAGGATAGAATTCCTAGAAATCGGCCATCCTTTACCGTCTAAAATCTAAATCCTTTAAAATCACAACTTTTCTTAAAGCTGCCTCCCTCTTTGTTCACGAACTTAAGCGGAATTTTCTGTCAAAAATTTTGTTACAAAAAATCAGTGCTACCATATACCTTATATAATTAATCACATTTTAAGAGTTAGCATATAATACATAATATATTTTGTGACACTAAAGATGAATTGGCGAAGTTACAATACCTTGATCGAGAGGAAAATCAATAAATAATTTTATGAAATGAGGTGCCTCAGGCAGGTGAAATCCTTGAGTTTGCCGTTAGATGCACTAGCCATCTCTTGTTTGATTTCAACTGCAGAAAATGGAAAAAAAAAAAAACGATAATGCCGTAAAAATAACGCCGAAAATGATATTATGACAAAAATAATCTAATACGAAAAGTGCATGCTGAAAAACGTTTTACATAGGACTTATATAACAGCAGTGAAGGGTACAGAACTATCGAAGAACGCAACAAATCAGAATTCTCCATTGGATACGTCAAAATTCTACATACATTCAGTACTAAAATATACCAACTCAAATATGATTATAAGTGTTGAGCTTGATTTCGAAAAATCAGATCACAATCCTAATTATTTCTCCCGTGTCAGATGAATAATTTTGCTGCTTATTTTAAATGAATACAAATTTTGCACTTGTTACTTATATAGTTATATTTACAATTCTTCTGTTTCTGTTTGAAGGATAAACTTGTAACCAAAACATAATAAATCAGATAAGATTATGACTAGCAATATTGTTGTTGATTGAGTAGGAATTAACTCGATCAAATGCATAGAGATCAATGTCAAAGCAATTTCTTATAATTTAAAAGGAATCAGTCACTGGTGCAACTGTTAATATGCAAAAAGTAAAAATAAATTCTTACATATAGTATTATTATCTTAAAAATAAAAATGTAAAACTTGTGGTACAAGAATGCAAGTGTACCCAACTAATTGATGAAAAATTTATTCGTGAATGTAAAAAGAGATATACGTATATCTCTCAATAACATAATAGAGTTCTACCCTACACACTGTTATTATCAATTTTATAATAGTCGCCATCTTTGGACCTAAAAAACTTATATAAGTCCCCGAGATGGAATCCGAACCTTGAACCTCAGAAACTGGGGTAAAGTGGTTAACTCGAATTCTGAACTTGAGCTCTCTTGACTTTGGTCACCGCCTTCCTTCTCAAGCAAAACAAGGAAGCAACAAAATCCAAATAACAACACCACATTAATCCTTGTTTACCTTTCTCATGAAGCATTATGATTCTTTGGATCTGGTTAAGGAACCCAAGTACAGTCTTGACGCCATTATCATCTGACACATCAAAATCCAGATCAACATATATTCTTGACAATTCTTTGGCATTGATCCATAATGCGCTAAAGTCTTTTTTTTTTTTTGGGGGGTAATATGAAAATTTAAATTCTTACCTAAGGGATCAGGCACCCCGTGGCCACCATGATGATATAGTAGAGTGGGGCGCACAAATGATTCCATAAGTTCGAACTGATATTGCGGAAGTACGAGTTCATCTTTCTCTCCTACTTTTCCAATAATGCAAATTAATAAAACCAAGTGAAGAAACCATCAAATGTGTGAGTGTGACAACCAAAATTTTTGCCAATTAATTAAGAAAAGAATCAAATTGAGGAAAGCAGTGTTACTGACCTACTATGTGGAGGGATGGAATATCAATTGGAGTGGAAAAGGCATTTTTAGCAAGTTGTGGGGGATGAAGGAAACAACAAGCCCCCAAGTTTCGCTCCGGAGATAATGATAACACACTTAATCTTTGGAACTTTGGTCAGTGCAACACCCTAAAAAATTCTCTATGGTTAATACTCCCGTTGTTCCAAAAGAAAAATAACCCATTTTGTTAAATTACAATGATATAAGAAAACGGACTATTTTTCTTGGTCGGAAAAGTACATGTTTGTTCGATTTAAATGAGTAGTTTACTGAAACTGACGAACTGATCAACTTATTTTACCTGTTTCTGCATTCCAGGCAGAGTACCTGTTATGCCTCCCCCCTTCAAAAAAAAAAAAAAACCAAATAATCGATGGTAATTGGTAAAAATCAAAGTATTGCTCTTGAAATAATTTTCAGTTTAAACTTTTTGGCGCGTACAAAAGAACAGATTCTGTTACCTGAGAAACTCCTAATACGCCATCAAAGGGTCCAAGCTTAATCATCTGCTCCTCAATGTCAGAAATGGCTTCATCAAAAGATTTGTTGACCTACATGATTATGAAAATAAATTTGCCAAATAAATTGCATGCTAGATGTTGGTGTTGAAGAAAAATCAAGTTGCGTTTAGCAATTTACTTTTTTTAATGGTACATTACAAAATGATCAGTTTAATACAATGTAAGGATATATATATATATATATATATATATATATATAACAATTTGAATTTTTTTCAGCACAAATATAAACTGTACAATCATTTTAGGACGGAAGATATATATATACTCTTCCGTCCTAAAATGATTGTTTCACTTTATATTTGTACAGTTTGTGCTGAAATATATATAAATATATATATATATATATGCACTCTTCCGTCCTAAAATGATTGTTTCACTTTATATTTGTACAGTTTGTGCTGAAAAAAATTCAAATTGGAACGGAGTAACTCACCTGATCAAGATCATGATCGAAAGCTTTGTACCACTCAAAGTAAGGAGGATCAAATCTCCCTATGAGACTGGACTTATCTGCGACAATAGGCGCATCTATATACACCAAATCCATTTTTGTCAACACGAACTCTGGCCATTTTTTCAGCATTTTTTCTAAAATCTGTCCGCTTCCTCCATAACCATGAAGGCAAAGAATTCTTGGTTTCTTCTGGAGCCGTTTTCCCATGATGTTTTCTTACTTTCTTTCTTTTATGCTTATCGTAAAATTTCCATATTGATACAACATGATAAAGGGATGGTAAAGGGATCAATTATGTACATGAACATTATAGTGATTCATAACTCATCTGTATGGAGCCAATTCATCCACCTCATTTTTGATATTCATGTGGTTTTGGATTCATCTCAATCACTATCAACTGAGTAAATTGTGCTGCCATCATTCTATAGGAGAAATAATTATTTGTCATAAATTGGATGTGGGCATCCAACCATAATTTGCCAATATTCTTTATTCTTCTTAGGGCCTATTTTTCTTACTAGTCCTAAACATTGCTTTTTACTACTATTAATTTTCCATTATCAAAAAATTTGTGATATCCGCCCTTGAATTAAAACTAAATGATTAAGAAAAACGAAAACTCATAATTCTGCTAAGTCAGGACATGAAATTATATTGTGTGCTCAACTGTGGCACAATTAGTCCAAATTCTTTCATAAGCGAATGCTTTGGAATATTTCCTTCTTGTAGCAGCCACCGTTTCGGATCCTACTCCTCTGCAATTTTTGGCCCCATATTCTCGGGGTGCAAAGGGGGATATAGTTCATTTTGACCCAGTTAAGTTGAAAGGTTCTAAACCACTGATACATGATGATTTTGTGGATTGTGAACGGAAAAGAGGAATGATCCTTTGACATTATGATTTTATTGTGATAAAGTTTGTAACATTCCATTCATGTCAGTCACTATTCCGCATATCATGCTGTTCATTGTCAACAAAAATGTCTATTAACGTTTTCTTAAGTTGGCTAAGAAAAAAATCGAAACTAAATCTGTTGGTAAATATCGGTTGTAATGATTCGTTCAGATTCAGTTGAAATGATTTGAATGGCCTACGCTAATAATGGCTAATGCCCAAATATATTGTTTAAACATTGCACAAACATGTTGCTTGTAACTATCCAGCTTACGTATAAACTACCCAATGATTCAGAAAGATTGTCCAAATACTCACAGAAGGTAAATTCCCTAGATACTTCACAGGGCACATCAACTATAGTAAGTACAAATACAAATATTTGATCAGGTCTTCTGCTCATAACACCCCTTCTTTGCCTTCATGCTAGCTAGCTACTGATTCCATTGCAGCGTTGTCTCAGGCGAAATTTACTTCCTCGTAAAGAAACACTAATATGTTCTTCCTAGATACTTCCACACCAACTGCAGTCAATAGAAAATTCTTCAGCAATAACAGGGTCACTAAAGAAAACAAGAGCTGAATTCAACAACAAAAAGATCCAGCCAATTTCACAGTAGTCAGGTTCCCAACAGCTTATGCCAAAGTTTCCCATATCACCTACATGCAATCACCTCTTGGGACACTTCATGCAATCAACTGATGCCAAACTTTCTGTAAACATAATAGGACCGGCGCAGATGTCCAAAACAGCAGGTCCAGAGTTAATTCTTGGGTGAAGATTGTCTCTCAAGTTGTATCGTTTACTTTCTCCGGTGGCCTTGTGTCTTATGTGGTAACTCCTTTCTTGAAGAGGGTTGAGTGTGACTTTAATACTCGTAAAGTCCTTACTCTCCAAGTTATATGTATATAAATGGCCCCTCCTTGAAACCAAAACAAGATTATCAGGAGTTCTCAAACGGAGGGGCACTAGAAGTCCTTTTATGGTGAACCTTTTAGTCCAGGAGTGCTTCACACCATATTCTGCCATTACAAAAACATCATTATCATCATTATCTCGATTGAAGTCCTCATACCTCTTTGCTACTCTAGACAAGCAAAGGCATCCATCCAAAATGGCAAGTCCAAAATAATAAGCCAAACCTCCATTATCATCTTCAGGCATTGGCAATTCCTTAAACTGGTCTATCTCTTCATCAAAATATATGAGCAACTGCTTGTCACCAATCTTTTCCCTCACTATCCAATGTAAATGTCCCCTCATCAAATGAAACAGAATAAGTCTCAGGTGGTTTATACGGGAAACTAACATCCTTCTGTATTCTCCACTTCTTTAAACTGGCAACATGAACAATGGTATCAGACGCTCCAACACCTAGAGGGCGTCGTGTAGTCACCAGCAGTACTTTGTAATCATCAGAGGTTTTGTCAAAACAAAGTCCAGATATGATGCGGTGAGATTCTCTGAATCTATTTGTCAAACCATTGAGTTGACCAAACAAACTGCACCTACCCGTCGATGGGTTCCACATCCGAAAGCTCTTGTTAGCATAAAAGAGTACCATCCCATTGTAACTACCAACACACGCAAAATTGGAATAGGTAACTAGAAAATCGCCAAGCGGACTAGGGACCTTCGTGATTGCAAGTTTATCATCAACTGAATAAAATGTTGCCATCGCCAAGCCAGCAGAGACTGACCGAGTAAAAGGTGAGCACATAACAACTACACGTTCTCTACTGGAAGCGGAGAGGACGAAATTAGGTTTAGATATCAGGGAATTCCAAATTTTGCAGACACACTTAAATCGTAGGAGACTCTTCACAGGTAATCTTGAGATTATATCAACCATGATATCCTGTGGAAGCTCAACAGAAGCTGAGCCCTTACTTCCTTCTTCCATCTCTACTCTTTGACCCTTGGATAGACGCTAAGGGAATAGAAGGGACAATCCTTTCGACTAGAAAAAATACCCTTTGAACTTTTGAAGGCCCAATATCTAAATCTACCAGATCGAAAACAGACACACAGGCGAGTAACGGAATCCAAATGACATTGTGACCCTCCCAATCAGTCAATCAAAACAAGCTTCAATGAACAAGCAAGCAGATAAACAGAGTAGCGGTAGTAAGTACCAACCAGTAGGCGAAAATTGAGAATTAACAGGTTCTTGATACGACCATATGGCGCAAGTTCTGACCACCCTTTTCAATACCCTTCTTGAATTAAATGATTCCCGGCGGCCCTGAAACAAAAAAAAAAAAAAACCGCATCAATTTTAGACAATCAGTTCCAAATCGATTACCAAAAAGAACCCATCACGCCAACCCTCAATCTTCCTTCAATACTTTCTTGAATTAAATCATTTCCCAAAACAAAAATTCCGGTGACCCGGAAACAAAATCGTATCAATTTAGACACTTAATCATTTCATAATCGACTACTAAAAAGAAAAAAACCCATCAAGATTGAAATTCCAAGAAATTCTTACGACAAAAATTCGATGGAGTTTGACTTTTTTTTACAGTAGATCAGCTTGCGGAGGATTTACCTTCGGAATATGAATCGATTCGATGTCTTTCGACAATGCTGTGGAGTGTGGAGCGCGGCAGAGATGTATGGCTTCGTCGCAGTTGAGAAGTGGGTCTTGGTGGAATTAGGGATTTAGAGATTTCTTGCTTCGTTCTCTCTGAATCTCTCGCGGGTTGGCTTCATTTGCAGGTTTGTGCCCAGAAAATGGCGGTTTCTTTTCGTACTAGTAAAACAATCATAGAATTCCAATATCAATGAAATATTATATTCCTGATATTGTACTATTATCGTATATTAAAATTAACTTTTTCCATTAGATTAATAACTTTTATTTTTTTTAGGCAAACATACACTCATTTGATTATTTGTAGTAAGATTTTAATCACGTAGAGCCAAATCTTTAGTTTCCTTCCACCTTTTGAAAATACTAGCCGAGATATACTCCGCGCGGTGCGCGGAAAATTACATGCCCGCTATGTAAATGTTATTATTTTTGCAGGGGTTCAGTTGAAGTTCTATTCGTGTGTATCTATGAGTACATGTAAGTTTAATCTATCGATGAGACACCTAAATTAAAAAGAAGCATAAAAGAAGAAACATATTGCAGAAATGGAGTAAGTAAGAATGATGCAGTCAATTCTGCAGTCATATTGCAGAATTGTCAATATTGCCACAAACGATGGCGACCATTTTCAGTCTATTGTCTTCATAATACAAACTTAAAAAAACCATAAAAATTGAAACAAGAAAAGCATGGTATGGTCGCAATTATGGAACAAAAGAAGTGGCCCGAAACCATGTCTAAAATGTCTCAAAGGTTATAGATATGATTTAAGAACTCATTATGTAGGACAAACAAAATAAGAAATTATTTCATTTTTGTTTTGGTACATCCACGGTGCAGAAACGTGAAGAAGCAATATGAAAATGCAAATAAATGTATTGTTTTTTTTTGGAAATATATATACATATATATATATATATACATATATATACAGGCAAGTGTAGAATCGATGAATAGTTGATTGTCATCTCATTAATAACGGTACACGAATAAAAAATCAAAGTGATTTTCAACTCTGACACGGTAATTGAAATTTCTGTTGCCATGGATAAATATTTTCCATGTGAAGATCACAAAAAATTATTACAGTAAAAGTAACCCTGTCATGTGGTAGGAAAACCAATATGTTTCCATTAACTAACTGATGATCTTCAACGAAATGGTTCTAATTATGGTAGAATGATTTGTTATGTAGTCCAATCTGGTATTGTCTAGCACCACTGAGCAATTGAATAAATGGTCGCGTCTCCTGATCCACGAAAAAAGTGGCAACGTACGGAAGTTTCTGAAATGACAGTGTGAAAAAAAAAAACTGAGCAGGTTCTACGAAAGGTGAGACATTTTATACCAAAATTTAAATGGATAGACCTTGGGCTAGTAACGATGAAGAAAAAATAATAAGAAGAATATCGTACCAATTTATGACTTTCGGCTTCAGTGTAGGTAACATAAAAACCTGGAATGACGTCCGTGTTTATTTGAAAGTGCGGGTTAATAGAAGACGATATAGTATGAGATCCCACTAAACAAAAAGGGAAGAAGATATTAAAAAATCGAGCATGTGTGGAATGGTAAAGATTAAATGTAGGAAAAGAGAGAGTAAATTACAAGAAGCTCGAACATGCGGTATACTTGGTAGGGACTCCGACCATTTTAATGCAATTTCCATATGTGTCTCATCAAAAGGCAAGATGTCGTATGAGTTTGTATTTCGTTGTCGAAACAATATCATACTTTGGTTTTTTATAAGATGGTCGTTGCAAAATTCTTCCCAACCGGCATAAAAATGTTGAGAATCGACCATCACATACCATCTCCAAGATCCACAATGGAGGCTAATCCGTTGGCCGTTCTCAATGCCAAAATATGCAAAAACATGCAAGGGTAGTTTCTGAGAGGCGGGATCAGAAAACACGTTACAATCAATAATAAAATTATACGATTGTAAAGTAATGATCTTTTACCTGCCGAACGGTGGAAGAGCACACTAATACAAAGCACCAAATTTTGTTGTTTGACTCGGCGTAGGACGAAGGACGATGAATGTCTGAATTTACGAGGATAATGACAATAACTCATATTAGATAAACGACGAACAAATAGAACCAAAACACATTTATACATTACCATGTTTACCTCGTGGCAAAAATGATATTGATTCGGCATGCAATATTTTGTCTATCCAACGATGAAGACTTTCTATAGATGTTTGATCGAACCACCCAATTGTGACCGGTCCTAGGGAAGTTTCTGAAAAATTTTGGACAGATAAATATCCTTAGATTACTGTGTTGATTAGTAACCTTTGCCACTAAATGACCAATATTTGAGCTGTCTATGAGATAATATTTCCCTCCATCTTCTGTTTGGCGACATTGATTGAAAAGATTCATAACTTAAAAGATTGAAGATTTGGAAAACTATTGAATGTAAAAAGTAACAGAATGCACAAATTGTGAGAGTATAAGATTGAGGCAGCACAATATATATAGGCGGACTTGACTTGCTAGTTTATATATGTAGTTTTTTATTTCAAAAAAATAATAATAAGTATTTCACTCGAGGGATAGAAACAAGAACAGAAGAAAAGTGTTCCTTCAAAGAAAAAACCCGTGAAGGAATATTTCTCCAAATGAGCCCAAACGGATAGAAACAAGAACCAAAATACTCCGTTCCTTCAATAAACCAACGCGTGAAGGAATATTCCTCCGTCGAACCACCCAAATAGATAGAAACAAGAACCAAAAAAAAGAAAGGCAAGGAAAACGATTCTTCGGACGGTGTTCAACTACGGCGTGCCTTTAACAATCCGATTCCCAGCCACCCTATACTCCGTCGGTCTATGGAAGGTATGTGTTTTTCGAAGACCAATCCCATTTTAATTGGAAGATTAAGATTATTTGTTCTTTTCCCTTCGGCCATTTTCTTCGATGGCTGCAAAACTTAATGTTCGTTATTGATCTAAGCGTTTAGAGGTGTAATATGTTTTGTTATAGTAAATTGAGTCCAACTTGGCACGGATCTGAACCCAATTTCATAGTTCCTAGATTTATTCAGTCTGTAGTGTGAATCAAACTGGTTCTTGCAATGAGTGGAGCCATTCCCTATAGAAAGTGTCAAAATACAGCTCACTTTTCGATTAAGCATACAACGCGCATGCAATAACTTTTCTATTTTCGTGAAAAAATATAGATGCCTTTGAAACCTTTGGAAGCATGCACTAACTCTTCAACAAGTGATTTATCTTGCTGTATGTATTGGTCCTCTTGCAGTCAATTTCTGGAAAGTTATCCGTGAAAATTTACGACCAAGGCAAAAAACAGGTCACTTTTCAATATTGCAGTCAAGTCTTTATTTTTGCAGTATGTTTGAAGAGTGTTTAATTTGCAGTCAAGTACAGGTAATGACCTTGTTTTTAACTCTGAAGCCAGTAAGTATGTAATTATGCAGGTAAGCAACAACGGTAATGGGGAAGAAGATGTTAACAGTGTTGAAAGGCAACGGTAGTAGCAGTCTGGTAAGTTCCGGAACTGTTTTTTATATACTTCTATTTAGATTAACTGGAACCATGTTCGTGCAATGTTAGCTGTTGGAGATCGTAGAATCTAATCTACTCGAGGGGAAATTTTCCAAGAAGATCAACCTTGTTACTTCAAGCGGTCTATATCCAGTGAAGCTTCAAAAGAACGAATACGGTTCGATCAATTTTGTCGGCCCCTGCTGGAAGGAGTTGTGCAGTGATCTGGAACTCCAAGACGGTGGCAAAGTGGTTATGGAGGATATCAGTTTATGCGGGAAAACATCATTGTTGTTTGTCCCTTTCGACACTGATCAATGTGCGAAGGAATCTACACGTACATCATTGGTAGACACGTATTCGTTCTTGGTTCCCTCAACGAAAGAAATATATGCAGAAGTGGTAAGTTCCTTTTAATTCACGTATAAGCATGCACCTTTATTTAATGACATTTGTTGGTCAAAACTCAAGCTCAGGGATTTTGTTCTGCGCAGGTCATCCCTAGTAAGCTTTTACGGAAAGCTTGTTTAGATTATGTGACTCACGTATGTGTGAGAACAGGGCAAGGAAAATGGATTGTCACCTTGGTGGCCGAGTACCGTAATAAGTCTTACATTTGCGGGAACAATTGGAACAAGTTATGCACTTATCATAACCTGGAGGCAGCTTCGACATTACATTTTAATTATCGGGGATTGCGCATATTTGACCTGACAATGTTTTCAGCTAGCGGGCATGAGATAAAGTATGATAGCAGTGCAATGGATACCGGTGAGTGTTTGATAGTAGTCTGAATATAGTCTTTTGATATGATATTATAAACCATGATACTAAACAGCTATTGAAAGCAGGTGAATGCAGGAGCGAAGGACTTTCTGATAACCAGTTTGATGTGGTGTTAGACAGGGACATCTTCAGAAGTAACAGAATTGTAAGCAAACCTCTTTGATGAATGGGTAGTAGCACAGGGGTAAAACGCGAAGGATAATATATCATGACTATATGATATAAATGTTATTCCATCTTCTGTGTAGGAAATCCCTGCAAGTATGGTAACCAAGTTCGATTTGATGAGGAAAGAATTTGCATATATAATTCATCCAAACGGAAGGTTCACTGCAAATATAATGGCGAGGCAGTTATACGTATCTAGCACAAGCACGAAGCCTTGGGTCGTCATGGATGCAAATTGGTCGATGCTGACAGTTCGGAACAATGATCCGGGTAGGGGAACCATAATGCGTTTTGAATTGGTTCGTCACAGGGATACAGATGCAGCTAATGGAGTGGCATTCTCCGTAACCTTTCACAGCGTGTAGTTTGATAATTGTATAAGTGTTAGGCGTTTAATTAGTCATAATGGTATTTGTTGCTAGTCACTGATTGTTTTAGCAAGCAGTAAACAAATGGAGAATTTCTATGAATAAGTACTGTTTCACGAGAAGTGCAGCACTGAAAAGTCATGTAACCATTCTGTTTAAGTTAGCCAAGCACGTCTATACATGTTATTTGTAGCATGTATTGTTGCAGAACGTTGGTATCTACCATAATATTGCTGGATGCATTTGAAAAGTTTTCCACATGTTTTTTGTTTTTTGTACAGCGATCCTTTGCAGCCCGTTATGTGAATTTCAATTTGCAGTCATTTTGGAAAGTATGCTCTATGCTGTGTGAATCTTAATGCAACCATTCTGTTCAGAAGAGAAAACAAGGTTGGAATCCATAGTAAGTTACGACCGAGGCAAAAAAAAAAAAAAAGAAGCAAGATATGGGATTAAAGGCAACATGCATTTTCTAAAAGGAACAACGCAAATATTATCCGTAAATATTACAACATTGTAAAGGCCAAAAGCATGGTCTTGGTTCTAGATAAGAGTGTTGGGCAAAAAACCATGTCTATAAAGGTGGAAAGGTTTAAGTCATGACCTAACCAATCATTAAGGAGGACAAATAAAAATAGATACGCAAAAGTATTTGTCCTATAATCACTAGATTAGCCTCTCTTGGGGCGCTTTGCCTTGTGACCATCATTTGTGGAATCTCCCTTCACAGCATCAGCTCCTGCAAGCTTTGAATCCAAGCACAGCTTTGCCTTGGGTTCCGAAACAGAGACTCCTGCCAAGCACAATTTAAATCAGGACAAGTACAAAGAATAAGGAGGCGGGAGGATGACCAGAAAATCACTGATGTTACCTTTAGGCAGAACTGATATTGCTTCAGCGTCACCAGATGTGTGCACACCTTGCTGGGCATGAGTATTTGTAACAGATGGGAGACTTGGACCAGGTTCAGTGAAGTTTGCTTCAGACAAGCACTGGACAAGGAAACGCGACTGTTCGCTGGCATACTTTGATTTTGACAGTTTAACAAGGCAGGAAAATATCTTCGATGACAAAGAGTCATGAACATCAGTGAGGTCAATTTCCTTTCCCTAAAAACAGAGGAGAAAAAAAATCAACACAGACATTAGGGAAGGCCAGTAGTGAGGAACACAGGTCACAGAAGGACCACCGAACAGGAAATGTTGACTAATACCAACCTCATGACCGGCTTTCATGAATTCGAGTGCTGCATGCGCAAGGATCTTTTCAGCGTCTTCACCCAATAACACACCCCTAAGAGTATCAGAGTGATCAGTTATATCCGCTTCCAGGCGACACCTACAGTCACAACATTGGATGGAACTGTGAAAATTACTCTACATGTAAGAAGCAAGGGGTACGGTATGAGGAAATCACGTGTTTTGTCAGTTGTCAGGAAAGATGGGTTCAGAGTAAAAACACCAAATTACCTAGGTGATGCCTTTTGACTAAGACCACAACCATTACAGGGGTATACCAGTCCAAGCTCAGATGCCTTTTGACAGCCCATGTACCAGAAATTCTGCAGTATATGCCGAAAGGTGACCATCACCTTCACCCAGCCAATCTGAAGGAAAAAAAACCACAACGACAAAGACCAAGTCCACGTTATAAATAACACAGCAATACAAAAACAAACGCGATGAAATTAGCAATCAACAACAAGGGAATTTAGTGCAACCTTATCCCCATTCTTAATAGCAGAGATCGAACTATAGTTTTGTACTTGTGCACTATCCATGGTAATGTGATTTTGGTTGAATTCCCCGGCATCGACATATGCCTGAAGCGTCTTGAAGTTGTTCTCCACCCTGATTCAAACCATGGGAAAACAAATAAAATGTATGATGGAAGGGGCGTATGGTTGTAGAAAAAAAGAAAAGACTGATAAATACGTATCATTGCTTCATGTGAGATGCTTCTTCAATCTTAGGATTGACTTGTACATGAGACGCACCCCCCGTTGAGAGTTCAATCCCTACATTTCAACAGGCAACCATAAGTATAGGATGGAGTGTGCATCAGCCAGAGAAATTTAACAACGGAAAAATCGTCATTAATCAGTGAGCAGGTGAAAGCACCATTGAAGAATGTCGCACGCATGCGGTTGCAAACAACAACCGGGAAAGAGGTTAGTTTCTCCCTGATCTGTTCTCCAGCAGTTGCAACAAAGTCATTCCACAGAGACACGGTGACAGCACGCATGCTGCGAAGGAAAAAAGCAGAAGAACATGCGGTATCAGAGTGTGTTCTTATCCAAACAACAAAGCATTACAAGAACAACGAAGCATATAGTCAGGTAAGTGAGTGACTTTTCATTGACGATGACATATTTCTGAACAGTAAGCGTCCCCCTTTCACCAGCAAGTTCTTTGAGGGGTAAACCTTGACAACGGCCCCAACCACATCTGCAGCGTAGAGCGACATAACCGAATTTGAGAATGTTACAACACAGGAAGAGTGGCATTAACGAAACAATTGGAATGAGAGAACGTACCAATTGTTTTTTTGGCAATGTCGACAAACTGCGGTATGTCAGTGAAATCAGTGAAGTTCATCTTGACAGGAGTGTTTTCACATACAGCGATTTCTTCAAGGAATGTCCTACCATTGATTATCCATTGCATCTCAATATCGTCGTTCCCTTTGTACTTCTCGGGTATTTTCTTGACTTGTGCATTGCGGATGCGATACTTTTTAAACAGATGCAATCGGCCACCCATACGCTGAATTTCGTGATTGAAGCAGATAGCCTCAACACAGGTACCCTGAAGAAATAGTCAAAACTAGATGAGAAAGAACATACAGGTCATCTAATGTGTAGCAGTGTTCTTTTGTTGTCATTCCACGGAGCATTTTAGGGACTAACTTACCTCGTTGTCCTGTAGAATGAATTTTTGGAATGTAGTTGGGGTGCTGTGTGCCTTGTACGGCATGCGCTTCTCAATCACCGTAACAACAGCATCCCACCCAGTGGCAGCAGCAGGGATCGCATCGATAGGCATCGGTATCTGTACCTGAAAACAAAGCAGTCAAGTATTGAATAACATGAGACGCCAGAGATGATCAGTGGACCGAAACGAAGAGCATAGAGAAATGGATGAATTACCAACAAGCACAACAAACCTAACAGCATGGAATTATATGTTTGTCAGTTGGAATACTCGAGGGAAGATAACATTTCGTGTCTTACAGTCATTTCGAATCTCACTTAGGGTAGGAGGAAGTATAAGAACCTTCACTTGCGACACTGTTTTTGCCCTAGAAAGGGCAACATACAGCTGACCGTGAGAAAACACAGGTTCTCGGAGGTATACTCCAACATAGTCTAGAGTCTGACCCTGGGACTTGTTTATTGTCATCGCAAAACATAGCTTAACAGGAAATTGCTGCCTAGAGAAAGGGATACCATTTTTCTCACTATCGGAACTGTTCAGAGGTATTTTCGGGAGAAAGTAACACTTCCCCTTATGTGGACCGACAGCAATCTCAACATATAAGGAATTTGGCCTCATCCCTCTACAAACCAATCTAGTTCCATTGCACAAGCCTGCTGCAGGATCTATATTCCTGATCAACAGCAATGGACAGTTTAATTTGACGACTAATTTATGCGGAGGCAATCCCTTCGGATTAAGAGTGTTGAGGAATTCCTCAAAGTCACCCTGGTGCCTAAGATCCAATGGCTTATCAACACTTGTATATACAGATTCATCACCCGAGAACTGCTGAATGAGCATGGAATTTATGTCATGAACAGAATCATTTTTAGTGCATAATATACATCGGTTGATCATTGAGTATGCATCAGAGTGAAACAAGTTCAGGTCAATGAATACATGCTTAACAAGCCTGCGGAAAAAGTAGAGCAAAATGACGCCATATTAGGACCAGCAGAAGGGAATATTTTTTCAAGAGAAAGAAGGGAAAGTAAACGATATAAGGTCAACCTATTCAAAGCACTATCACGATCGTCGTAGGGCACAACCATTTCAAATGGCAAGGTAATGTTCCCATCCTCGTCAACAGGTTCCACACCTTCGCCAATGCGAAGCAAGAACGAAGAGAAATCTGGATCAAGAGCTGCTTGCATGTTCTCGGTGAGGAAATGTTTTTGTAGGTCCAGCCAAAACTGAGAACACAGAATGCTCGATTCCACCTGCTTATCAACAGAAGCATGTGGAATTACTGGCAAAGTTTGCCTAAAATCTCTGCCAAAAACAACGACCTTCCCGCCAAATGGTAAAGATGACTCCATGATATCTCGGAGGAGTAAGTTGAAGGCTTGAAGGACATCAACGTGGGCAATTGATGCTTCATCCCAGAGAACAAGGCGTGCTTCCAAGATGAGCTGGGCTGCAGCGCTCTGTTTGCTAATACCGCATGTTTTTCCCTTGGTAAAATCCAACGGGATTTTGAACCGGGAGTGCGCTGTCCTACCCCCAGGCAGAATTGATGCTGCAACGCCTGAAATTGCAACAGCAATTGCAATATGGCCTCGGGATCTGACAGTTGCGAGAAGACATCTATAGAGGTATGTCTTTCCAGTACCACCAGGGCCGTCCACAAAAAACGATTGACCATCTTGCAAATCAACACTCTTCATTATACAATTGTATGCCTTTCTCTAGCAGACATTCATCTTATTGTGTAGCAAGAGTTCTTCCGGAGAAACTACAATGCTTCTTTCAGAGTTGAGCTCAGTGCCTGTTGCCTAAAACACATTCCCACTCCGTCCGGTATTAAATGGTAGTCACCAATGCGTTTGTTCATTTGTTCTAGGTAGCGACTAATATCGTCTAAAATGCGGAGGGTAATGCCTGACCAATCTAAAGGAGCCGATAAGTTCGAGCGTCTAAAATCAGTGGACATTTGATACTCGAACTTTGAAAACAAATCAGCAGGATGATTCGGGCTGCAATAAACAAGCAATACTGCAAAAAGATACCTAAGGGAAACAGGCATTTGGAAGGCAGCCGCTTCATTTAGGGGATCTTCAATGTACTCATCTGATTGAAGCAACCCCATCTTCAATGCAGTCTCTCTGAAACAAGAGTATCTCCTACCATCAACAATCAGGAGATCATCATAGGATTTCGGAGCTCTCACGTTGGAAAGGAGCAATCGCAGGTAGTACCTCTCACCTTCTTTTGGACTAACCGACACCATCCTACCTATAACTTCCCCTTTTTTCCGCTCAGTCCATTTTTTATCCTTCTTATTCCAGCAGAAGTGTTGCGGGAAGTCCTTATATAGGAGCTGGAGTTTCTGTGCTAGAGGATTAGTACAATTAGTGCTAAAAAACTCAGTGAGCATTGTTTTTGAGAACTCGGGATTCCCTAAAAGGTCAGATAGGTCAGCAGTTGCGGAAAAGGACACCAACTGCTCACCATCAAGGTGAACCTGCAATGAGTAAACAGAAGGCCTCATAAGGCTGAGGTAAAAGCCGTAGATTCTCCAAGCACTTTCAGGCGGTCCAATACAGCGAGCGTCCTGAAAGTCCTTGATTTCATTAACTTCCTTAGGGTTATCACCCGAAACAACATAGAAGGAGACCATGTCAATCCCCTTGTACACGTACTTGTACATGTACTTGACCAACCTGACTGTTGAGCAAATCTCAACATTCATATGGTAGTCGTACTTCGCGAGCAAGTACAGATTGTAAGGCACAACCCAACGATTATCCAAATCATGGCCAGAAATCGTAACGACCCTCCCATTGTTACGCCTGCGATAGCAAGGATAAGCATCTTCAGCATGCGAGGTCATTTCAGCAAATGGTTTTGGGTATTTACTTTTGCAATAACCATTTTTCATACACGGGCTAGTCGGTTTCAGATCACCGCATGGGCCATGGACCATATGTTTCAAAACCAGCTTATGCAGGTGAGGATGCTGGATAGGGTCAGGTATTTCAGCCGAGACGATCCTGTCGTACGCTTCAGGGCCCAAAGGCTTCTATTTATCCTTGAGGATAATCAGGAAATGAGCATGAGGCATCCCGCGTTTATGAAACTCTACAACATGCACACAAGCTGCGACTTCTCCAAAGACTTGTGTTTTCATGATGTCCTCTTTTAGGTATTCAAGTCTAGCCCTAAAAACGCGTGCGAGCAAATCTGGCCTATCAAATGGTTTTTGATGGTAACGTAAGTTTGATTTTATTTCTGGCCAGTTAGGGTTGCATGTGATTGTTAAAAAAATGGATGGCTTGCCAAATTTTTGAACCAGTGCCATAGCATCAAGCGACGACGCATGTCCCTTGGGCCACCAATGAACGAAGGCGGCAGAATAAATCTCTTGCCAATATTAGATCCGTCCGATTCACCAGCGGAACGAACATCCATAACCCCCTGAAGGATTTCAGATCTAAGTTCATTCTGTTTATACCGAATAAACTGCAGCCGGCACGTTTCAATCTTCACGTATGCATTAACAACATACTGTTGTAGAAGACGCATCGAATCCAAAAGCGTGGATTCATCATCGGCCCTCATCTGTAGCTTGTAGCAGTAATACTCTCTAGCAGTGACCATATTGCGATGGGCGGTCCCTTCTAGGACTACTGGAAAGGGAATTAACAAGGGAAAAAAAGAGGAAGGCATAAGGAGGAAGGGAACAGAAAAAAAGGGCAGACTGATGGTTAAGAGAGGCACAGGCATCTCAGAAAAAATATTGGAAAAGGATGAATAAAATCAGCTGCATAAGAATATGATACTTGCCTTGCTCCTCTAAAGCACTAATGTCTTCAGGAGATTCCATTTCGGCAATGGCTTCCCGACTGAAAAGATCAGCTGTTTCACGCACACAGGAGCACGAACCTACACCATGCCTAGGGATCATGCGGTGCCAACCCGATTGGCCACCAGGAAAAAGAATAGGATACTGCAACGGATCCATGCAAGCATAGTAGTGCCTGACATGATAGCTCTCATCACTCTCCGTGTAGACACGAATGTCTGCACCTCTTTCGAACCTGTTACCATATTCAGTTTCCCTGAAGATGGCCGCAACCTGATCGCAGGAAGGCAAGTTGTACCGCCTCTGATCCAGATCAGGAGTACAACTGAGAACTATCTGTTTCTGATCAAGGTCCGGCACATAGCGCAAGTTCCTAAAGAACTTCATGTCAGGATTAGAAGAGAGGAGACGACTGAGCAGCTGCAACGTGCTCTTGTTAAATTTATCCGTCGATTGCATCCTCCACGAGATTTCCTCGTGTTCATCATAGAAGTAGAGCTGAACACCAGAAGGAGAATGACCATTCGGCTACAAAGGATGCAAGAGATGATGCATTTGCCCCTGCACGCGAAAAGTGTACATCCCTCGGGTGTTCATAGTCAGATCACGATCATAGGTGACACCAAGGGAGGTGAATGCAAAGTTATTGTTGTAGCTACGAATATTCTTCCTGAATTCAACGGATTCCTCATCCAACCCAATGAATAATCTCCGGAGAGCGTATGGCATTGGATGGCTGACGAGTGAAACTTTATCCTGCGAGCAACAGAATTTTGGTGGTTCGAACGGAAAAAGTTTGGCCCGACAGCATTCACAGTTTTGAACTGTCGGAAGCACCATTGACTCTAGAGGAGGGTCGCTCAACAGATGCAAGGACGGTTTCCTCTTCTTTGATCGTGGCGCTTGTTGAAGCATACACGATACGGCTACACGGTCAAAGAATAGAGTGAACTTTAGTGTGCTGAAAACCAGCATTACAAAGGAAGAGTAGGATAAATTGATGAAAGGGGTAAGTCGAACCCATATTTCACCTCTCCGGGCGGGATTTCACAGGATACCATGAGCTGGGACCATCCAAACAATTAGGCCAGGAAGATGGGCCAGCAGAAACAGAATGTGAAGGAAGACCGGCACGAAGTATAACATGAGCAAGCGGTAGAGCATGAAGATCGGATAAGTGTGCAAAGAAAGAAACAAAGAACAAGTGAATACCATCACAACCGTTAAAGTTCTCGGCCCGATCCATGGGCCGAAATACATCAGCCGCGTGACTGGATGTTGGAGGAACAACAGAGTCAGAAGACTCAGTCGTTGTTTGGCCTGCCAATGCAGGATGACCAGGCAGGGAGGCGTTTTGGGTTGGATTGAGGGAAAGTTTAGCAGCAGGGCAAATTCTGAAGGTATGGTAAAGGAGAAGTGACAAGAAGGGGAGTATTGCTGCAAGAGACAGTATTTACAGGACAACTAATAGTGTCGCTGCATCCCCGTGCCTTTCTCAAAGCATACAATTGCCTTCTACGAGCAAGGAGCTGTTGTTTTTTTTCCTCTGCCATCCTTGACACACGCGAGGCATACAGCTCCCTATTACACGCTCTTCTCTGAGTAATCTTATCGACCTCAGGTGCGAGAAGAGGGGGAGGGATGTTACGTGTAGTCAGCAAAGCGGGGGTCTCAATGGTGGATGCGTCACAACATACAGTGGGAAGTTCCACGCCACCGGAACTCGGAGGATAACTACTCACGTTAGGCACCGGAGCTTCCTCCTTATCTTAAGAGGAAGCAATAAGAAACGTGCAAGTACATTAACAAATAGGATTACTGGGAGGCGGGCGAAAAGATACAAGAAGGATACATGGATCGACGTGTATGAAAGATCATCAACAAAGTCATTCATAGAGATACAACAGCGAAGACATTAACGGGACACAAGGCGATAAGAAAAAAGAGGAAAGCATCGGTAGTTCGTGCATGGCATCCGTAAAAGTTAAACATATGAACATACCTGAGTAGTAGAAGGAGGACTGAGTACGAACGTAGAAGCGAAGGAACAAAGAAAGCACGGGCACACCAACCAGGAACACAAAACAATAGCGAGCAACTGGGAGAACATAGAACCAGGAAAATTAACAAAAGAATTAAACAGGGATTTCAGTAGGGTTAATAATAAAGAAGGGCCTACGAAAGTTCATACAACAGGGGGTGTTTGAGAAGCGAAACACATGCGAAAAAGGGACAGAAACAAAAAAGAAGCAGTTTACGCAGCCTAAGGTGAAAAAGTCGGTTGCACCATACCACATGTATTTGCTAAGGAGCACCAAAACGGTTTAGAATGTATAGAATCACCACAAGAAGAAAATAAAAGGAGTATACCACGATTTGCTGAGATAATATACATGGACCATCAATTTAAGACTAATGAAAAACTGACTTAACGTGCAAACTAGTGAAAAAGCAATTTCATTACTGGTAGAAGAAGGTTAGAGAAATCAGCCACCACCAATATTTAGACACCTTGCTAAGGTGCAACCGAAATCAAATTTACATCTACAGAAGAGTACGTTATGATACTACTAAGTTTAAACTACTGCCTCCAGGGTAGAAAAGGTTGCATTAAACTTCGGAAGATATGAATTACTTCCTAGGAAAAACACTGGCAGAAGAAGGTACGAGAAAAAATCCGTAATAGTAACCAACAAGGAAAGATGAACAGGAACCAAGTAACGAGGGAATTCAATTGTAGAAACCAGTGTATCAGGTTGAACCAAGGAGGTCCGAGCAAGTTGCAGGAAACAAAACAGTAATAATAATAAGCAGCTGTTCATGTAAAGTAAAGCTCAAAACATATAAACTCGAGGAAATTGAAGCCAATGCAATAAGATCCAACCTAACAGCCAGTTTCACTTCGATAAGCAGAAGAAATGGAAATTCATGGTCAAAAACGAACCAACTGTACACCCAAATAAACTAAATTTAAAAAAACAAGAGATGACAAATTTAAACCCTCACTAAACTTGAACAGAAGTGCAATTATCAGCTTCTTCACCCACAGTAAATATCCAGCCCGAAAAACATAGAAACCAAATTCCAAATTACCCCTTATTTTAAAGATAAAATAAAGAAATGAAAACCCACCTCAATCACAAGAATACACCAAAAAAACTGCATTAAACCAATAAAACCAAAAGGAGGAGAAGACCATAGAGAGTACCTTCATACAAAGACCAAAATCCATATGTAACAGCTCAGAAAAAGGAAATTTTTTTCAATAAATAAAGGAAAAAAACATACAGGAGAACCCAAAACCAAGCAGATGCATCCACCAAATTCGTCAAAGCAGGAATGTACAGATTCAAAAGATGAGAACCAAACAGTGGTAAGTAACGAATCACTGGGTAGAGATGTTTACCTTGCAACAATGGATGGGAGGATATGGAGGACGGTGGAGACGAACAAAGAATTGTAATGAAGATGAACATCACTATAAAGATCGCCATATCCCAGGAGATGGTATTTTCGAATAAACGCCGAAGGCTGTACAAGATAATCTGGCATGTACTGAATCTATAATCAGCCATTTCGGGAAAATGTGGAAAACCGCTGGTTACAAGGGGGAGAGAACCTTCACGGGGATGAATACATGCTGCAAGCAAGATGACAAGAGAAGAAGACAAAGTTGGGAACGGCGGAAGAACACGTCAGATTCAGACAGCAATTGAAATGTCTGAAATTAGGGAAAATTGGGGGAAAAACGAAATGTCTAAATAAACTTAAATCGACTCTTGGAATTTGACGCGTGCGATGAAGAAGGGAAAAGGCGTGCAAGAGTCACTCGTGGGAACCATTGACCAGGGATGGTTGAACCAAAGACTTTTAGAGTGCATCCCCTTTTTAGAATTTACTTTATAATAACTCTACTTCACTACTTGCACAAGAATTAAGGATTAATCATTAATAAATTGAAATTTTGTATCTTACTACTAATTAATTACACCAATCACTTAATTTAAAAAAATTGGCAATTTAAATCCTACCAGTACCATTTAATACATACGTGTAATCATGAAAAATATTTAAAAAATGATGTATTGGAAAATAAAATGGACTTAAAATTCAATATAACCACAAATAAAAAGTGGACTTATATTTTGAAAATAAAAAAGTATACATTAGTGTCAATGCAAACAAGGTCTTTTTAGGTATCTGTTTATTAATTAAAGATACCTAATCTATTATATTACATTCTATTTTAAGCTAAATTATGCAGTTCATAAACGTCTTGTCTACTAACTTTAATCAGTTTACAAGACTGAAAATAGGAAATTAATGAGAATAACTAGTCAGATCCTATGAGCTTCACGCGTGCCCAATGTATAACATAATTTAATGAGTGTACATATAATAAACAAAATGCAAAAATAAATCATATGAAAACTCTTCACATTTGTAAATTATACTCCACATTTAATTGTATGAACAAATTTTTTAAAAAATACTAATCTTTTAAGCACTTGATCAGGAAATTCAACCATCATATCATGCACATGCATAGTATTACACATGATCAAAAATATTTTTACATGAACTAAATAATGACATCATATGTTTTCAAAGTCTAAGTTATTTTTATTAGGAATTATATACGATTTATATTTACAAAGTTAATTTACCTTAAACACAAAATTATCCACTAAAACAGATCTTTCTGTTTACAAAAGTCATATAATTAAAACACCATTAGAAGAGATCATGTTGACCTGAGCAGTAAGAATAAAGAACATAATAAAATTAATTTCTTCATGCTAAAGACAACCAAAATAAAGGGAAGAAAGAACAAAGGTGAAGTATAAACTAATTAGTTATTTACCTTTCATGGTGGGAGAAAGAAGAGGACTTGGTGTTGAGGTGGATCGATTTGAAGGAGAAAGAAAATAGAGAGCAGTAGCTAATGCACTTATTGCCCCTTCTGTATTTAAAGAAAAATCCATCAATAAATTGACAATTGAAATACACCTATTTCTTTTCAGTTTCCATTGAACTTAAATCATTAAATATATTAAACTTATCATATAGATTTTAAGATTAAGAATATGAAGAGGTTGGCCATGAACCTTCCGTCATTGCCATTAATTAAAATAATAATGACATATAATTAATTAGTATTAATTAAAATAATCAAATGTCATCATTTTATTTTTTCTTTTCTTCATAACTTATTCCAAAATATACCACCAAAATTTTGTCCAAACTCACTCTTTATATTATATGTTGATGACAAGGAAGTAATGCAAACAAGTTGATCACCTTCATTATCTGGTCTAATTAGCTCCCTTCCGTTTAATCCCAAAATTGATTAACTCTTTGTGAAATAGTTTGATTTTCTATTGCAAACATTTTGTAATATACACATTGTTGAACATTCTTCAGGTATTCTAATAAAGTGCTATTACTAATTAAAAAAAATCAAATTAAATCAAAATACATAAGTGAACAAATGACCGCGATGACAATGAAAAAATTGTTGCCACTTTTTTAAAAAAGTGATAATTATAAAAGTATTGCTAAACGCAGCTTGATTTTAATTTGCGTAGAAGAAAATACAAAAATACCCCTCTTCATAAATACTTAAAGTACTACCATAAAACTGAAAAATACTAGCATAAAACTTAATATTAAATGTAATTATATTTAACAATAGAGGGTTTATATGCACTTCACACGTGCACAAAATTACTAATATGACCTTCTAATTTATTGTGAGCATTTTTATATCTATGTAAATTACTACATTACAAATATTAGCATATTGATATTGTAGTTAAAACATGGAAGGGAAAGCACTACATTCACAATATCAATGAATTCATGATAATGCAACTTCTTAAAAATGTAGTAACGGAAAGGTGTAATAATCTGCATTTGTCTTTTTGCCTACTTTGACATATATATATATATAATATTTATATATAATATATATACATATATAAAGAAAACTCTAGATATATTTTCTGTGCCTCCGATTATTACAATTAAAAAAGTTTCAAGAAAACTTGAAACTTAATGAAAAAATTAGATCGTTTCAACAGGGTTCCAGCATCACAAATGTATAAACAATGGAAAAGCAAAATAAATAATCATAGGGAGGAGCGCTTATTTTTATTCCGTAGAAAATAAGATTTCATAAAAAATCATGAAGAAGACAGTGAATACGTACAATTTTTTTAAAAAAATTGTGTTAATTCTATAAAAACTGAAGATTAGAACTATAACAATAAAGAAAACATAAATTAATTCTACAAACCACGGCTGCTTCTTTCGAATATCATTTAGGCTCCGTTTGGTTGGAATGAATTGGAATTGAATTAGAATTATAATCCAAAAAAATTGAAATTAAAATATTGGGATTGCAATTCAATCTCAATTTATTTGTTTGGGAGATCTTAATAATTGACTAGAATTAAGGTTCTAATACCAATTCTTGCGTTTGGATGCTTCAAAATTTGGATACTTTAGAATTGAAATTAATTTGTTACTAGATAATTAATACAATTTATACTTCATGTCAAATTTTTTTTTTTAAAAAAAACTTAATTTCCTATGTCAAAATAATCTATCACGGATATGTATAAAACAAAAAAAAAAATCATTGTGTACATGTATATTAGATTACTTTGTTGTCCTTTAAACTAATCCTTTTTGAAAAAATAATTTTTTATTTAATTTGCTATATTATTTTGTGATTTATTATGTACACACTTTTTTGTAGAAAACAAAAGAAACATTATTGCGTAAGAATTATTACTATGATATGTAAACATCCTTGAGTCCCTCTCTTTTATTACTTTTCAAAATTTTTTAATTTTTGGTTTATTGATTTTTTCCCCTATATTAGTAAAAAATATTGTATATAATATAAATTCATTTTATGAATATTAATTTCTATTATATATGTTGACATTATTTTTTGGAATTTGCTTAAAATTTTTTAGTTTTAATATATAGTTATATATGAAAAAACATATACTTAAAATTCAACTTACAGAATTTTTGATGAAAAAATGCCATGTATTATTTAATATATATATATATATATTAATATAGGTGTACATATGGAACAATTATAAAATATTTTTGAAAATTTTATGGTGTTTCTTGTGTCAGTATATAATAAAAATTCTAACCCAAAATTAAAATATTTATCTATTAATTTTTTTGGGACAATTATACTTTTGATTTTTTCTCAAAAAAATATAATGTTAATTTTAGATTGATTTCGTTGATGATGATGATAATAATAATAATAATAATAATAATAATAATAATAAGAAGAAGAAGAAGAAGAAGAAGAAGAAGAAGAAGACAAAAAGCTGAAAAAAAGAAAAACAAAACGAAAAGAAAAAGGGCAAGGGCTGAAAGCCAAAAAAAAAGAAAAGAAAAGGACTTAAGGGAAAAAAGGAAGAGATGACCCGTTTATGTTATAACCCGGAAATGACCCGGTTTAGACCCGCGAATTTTTTTTATTCCCTTGAATTTGAATTCCAATTATTTACCCCCACAAAAGAATTAAAATCAAAGAATTGAACCCAAAATAGTATTGCAATTCCAATTCTTCCACTTCAATTTTTGTTAACCAAACACAAGAATTGGAATTAAAGAGCTCCAATTCCAATTCTTGGTCTCAATTCAATGCAACCAAACGGAGCCTTAGAGTAAAAAGTTCAAAATTTTTCTATGTTCTCATTCTTATAATGGGGGAGTTGAATACGTACTTCACCATGTGATTTTTCATCTTCACTTAAATTTGTGGGAACTTTTTCTTTTTTTCAACATCTCAAAGAAAGAAAGTACGATGAAAAATAAGAAGAAGAAAGACAGATAGACAAAAAAAGAAACTATGAAACCTACAAGAGAGTTATGGCTAATGGCCTTTTTAAAAGAACATGGGAAAGTAACGGGCATGGCAAGAGACAAGTAACATAACACGTATGATTGTTATGGGGGAGATGATTGATCATTTCATATTGCCAAATAACAACGAGTATATGGAATTCATAAAGGAAGAGTAATGGCAATGAAAACTTTTTAGGTTCTAACTTACAATTTAACTTCTATTTGTTACTTTTACCATCATAAATATTAAAAAAAAAAGAAAAAAGAGAGAGATTAAAATAAAAAATCTCACACGTTCAGAATTCCCTAAATAATGGCATTGAAAACTTTTTAGGTTACAACTCCTATTTGTAATTAATTTTGCCTTCAATGTGAAACCAAAAAAAAAAAAAAAAAAAAAAGAAAAGAAAATATAAATAAGTGAAAATAAAAGAAGTTACATGTGATAAACACAAATACACACATGTGAAAGACTACCAAAATGATGTCCATATTCCCCAATTATAATATATGTTGATAAAAAAAATCAAATCAAAGTAATATTAATTCCGAAGAAATGAAAGATATTTTAATTTCATCATAAGCACATTTGTTTCTTTGTTAGATATTAATTTCATGCATGCTTGGACTTATTTTGCTTTAGAAAGAAACGAAAGATAGGACTAACGGAGAAGATAGATAAACATGT